TGCGTCGAGTCTCTGCACAAACCATAAGGAATCGCCTAAGAGAGCATGGAATCCGACCGATGCGACCACATACAGGACCTGTTCTGCGACACCACAATCGTCGTGCACGTCTTCAATGGAGCAGGAACGTTCGGCCATGGACCCTCTTGAACTGGAGGAGGATCTGGTTCAGCGACGAGTTGCGGTTTATGCTGTATTGACATGATGGCAGGATGCGGATTTACAGACGTTGAAATGAAAGATATGCTCGACAATGTGTTCGTGAGGTCGACAGACACGGCGGCGGAGAATGATGTGGGCAGGCATATCTGTGAATGACAGAACAGAGCTGGTGCATGTCCAAGGGAATTTGAGTGCTGTTGGCTATCGTGATGAAATCCTGGTACGTAGTGTTATTCAAATTTTCCAGCATGACAACGCAAGACCGCATACAGCACGCATTACAACAGCTTTCCTTGCCATCAACAACATTACAGTTCTTCCATGGCCTTCAAAATCTCCGGATCTTAACCCAATTGAACATTTGTGGGACCAATTGGATCAACGTGTACGACGCCGACAGCCGCAACCACAGACGCGTCAACAGCTTGTCGATGCGTTGCAGGATGAGTGGCGAAGAATCCCACAACAGCGGATCCGACGTCTTATACAGTCTACCAGACTACTATGCCCAGGCGATGCAGAGCAGTGATTGAGGGTCGTGGTGGTCACACCAGATACTGACTTTGTGACGGTGCCATCAAAAACAGGGACTCTCAATACCACTGTGAATGACTGTATGTTTTTGGATACACATGTCCCAATACCTGTGTGAATTTTTATTGCTCTATTATCATTACTTTGTGTGTAAATTAAGTTATTAAAGCATCACTGATAACACTGGATTTTCACCTATGCGTTTCTTTTTGGGGCTAGTGTAGTATTGGTATATCTTATTGTTTGTTTCAGGGAAACATGTATCTGCCAATATTACTTTCCTATTAGGGTAAGCCAGATATGAAAATATAAAGTAAAAGCCTAATGAAGTCACAACAACCATGTCAAAGCGGACAGAATTTGCCCCTTACACGCAGTTTATAACAGTGAGTGAGTGAGTTTACTTTTACGCCGCATTCAGCAATATTCCAGCTATATGGCGGCGGTCTGTAAATAATCGGATATGGACCAGACAATCCAGGGATCAACAGCATGAAAACCAATAAACGCAAATTGGATACGATGACATGTGTCAACCCAGTCAGCGAGCCTGACCACCCGATCCCGTTAGTCGCCTCTTACGACAAGCATGGGTTACCGAAGATCAATTCTAACCCGGATCTTCACGGGTCGCAGTTTATAACAAGGTGCCAACAAGATATAGAACAAGTCACACTGACTGTTTAAAAATAGTGGGTCGGTATCGCTCCGACAGGTTGACAGACATGGTCAGCATGTTTTCTAAACTACACGACGATGCAATGGCACCTGCAGTAACACTTGAATATGCTAGCACTAGGGCATCTATGCCCAACACTATTACTCTTAGCATTTTACTGGCCCTTCTAAAAGGAGGCAAAAGTCCATTTGCCAACAAAATTGAAGCTAAAACTGGAAATCAAGAGGAAGATTCAAGGAACATCTATATAACATTGACGTGTACCATGCACGATATGGGACGATGACAAATTTATGATAATTACTTCGGTTCCATTGTTAGACATAAACGGAAAATTTAAAATTGATCAAGCTCATAACTTACCCTTGCTCATGCTGACTCAAGGATTGTTTCACAAGCTTAAAAAAATAAGCAACATGGCCGCTCAGTATGGTTTGGAAAATCATGTGCTAGCTGAAACGCCGGACGTAGTAAGAATACATTATTAAAGAATTCGGAGGTCGAAACATGCACCCAGCCTTTAACAGGTTCATATCCAAAGTCCCATATTATCCTTAATTCCGTATTACCGTAATGAAACTAAATAAACTAATGTTCCAGGATAGTTTTCTTCTGTTAGTTCGTAGCCCAAATGTTTCCAAAATGTTACAGTGGGAACCTTTTATCCAGACTGTGAGAAACTTGGGTCTAACGAAACTTCCTTCAAAACTGAAACAAACAGTGAACATTCCCAACAATTATCTTCTCTGACAAATATAAAGGTTGATGTGGAGACAGTACAGTAGGACGTATCTCGTGGTATTAATTGTTCTTATTATCGTAATTATACCGTTATATATAACAGATTCATTACACCGTAGCTAGCCAAATGGAAAAGGGATAGGAACATTGACTTGGTTATGATCGAGTTCGAGATGGTGTCAGCTGAGTTCGAGATGGTGTCAGTGAGTGAGTATATAGTTTTCGCCGCATTTTGCAATATTCAAGCAATATCACGGCGGAGGATACCAGAAAGGTTTCAAATATTGCACCCACGTGGGGAAATCGAACCCGGGCCGTGGGCGTGACGAGCGAACGCTTTAACCACTAGGCTACTCCACACCTCTTGTCACCAGTGGAAACCTGGACCGGCGAGAAAGTGAATCAAATGTATATCCGAAACTGGATGGTGTAAACATTGCTGTAACACAGGACCGTGGAATGGAAACCTGTCTCCAGGCGTGGTGAGCCAGTCAACAGCTATACTGAGTCAAAAAAGAAACTTCACATTCTTTCTTCAGGGCACTATAAAAGAACAAGAGATGGTAAGATGGTTAAATTGTTATTATTTCATTGCTGAGATCTGTGTGATGTACTCGATACACTGACAGTGCCATAATCAGTTCCATTAGGCCACACCGCCGTTCCAAAACATGGGTATACAGAATGTCAAGTCACAAGAATAAAAATGCGAAATTTGGCTCAGTATATAAGGACAGATCTGTGGTGATGTGAATCCACCGAACTGTTTTTGTTTTGTGGTGTAAGGTGGATCTGTAAACACTGTTTCCTGAGAACTATGATTGATTGATGATAAACGCCGCACTCAACAATATTCAAGCTACTAGTATATGGCGACGGTCAGTAAATAATCGAGTCTGGACCAGACAATCCAGTGATCAAAATCATGAGTATCGATCTACGCAATTGAGATACGATGACATGTGCCAACCAAGTCAGCGAGCCTGACCACCCGATCCCATTAGTCGCCTCTTACGACAAGCGTGGTATGCTGAGGATTTTAGCATGGACCTTCTGGGGTTGGGAACTATGAACCTATTTGAAAAAACACTATAGGTGTGTGCGCATGTGGCATGTTCCCTATGGCCATCGTCAAGCACAACGCTGATCAATGACAGTATCATTGTATTGATGGCAACTCACGTGTTAGTTATGATTGTAGTTATAGTATCTGAGTATGGAACAACTGTGTACTCGATGGATTCTTCTAGATCACTTATGTATAAACATTGTGACCTACCTTGAAATATAAGGTACCTATATCATGATTAGTAATGTAAATGCACTAGCAGAAAATGAAATTTGTTTCGACAAATTTTCCAATGAGAAAAAGGCGAATGTAACACTATTTGTTGTGTATACTTGTCAGAGATATGTTAAGCTCGTCAAAATATGACCAGACAAGCAGCTAGATTATGTCCATGAGAACTGCTGACCTAAACAGATTGTTATAATAGTAGTTCATCTGCCTTCACAAACAGGCGGGATAGGGGAAGCTGGGAGACAGCAGGTGAGCCGGCAGAAAGTGGGAAGAGCAAGCCAGGAGGGTTGGGACGGGTCCAAATTTTCTGTGTTAATTTACCATTACCATTTCCTATAATACATAAACAAATATTCTTACGAAGTGTAAAACATCACACTTTAGTTAAAAGTTGCATGTTGCCAGCGCCGGTGTGTGTATATACTGAAAGTCAAAAGAAACGTTGCTGGAGATTGTGTTATAAAGTGGTTTAATGAAAACAGGTTCCTGGCTTGGAGACGTCGCCGAATGGTTAGGTCACTGACTGGTCGCTGGTGGTTTCCTATGGTCCCCCGAGCTGTTTCTGTGGCCCTTGCAAATCGGACTTGCAGGTGTTGATGGAATACTCCATTGACACTTAAATGTAAAATGCAGTTGCTGTAACGTAAAATACAATGTAGATTGTACTGGCGTTAAATGTACATAAATGCCTATATAACCCAACGGTGTTACTAAACGTGTGTTAATGATATGTAATTAATTTGTTTGTATTTGCAGTGTTCTGAAAATGACAAAAACTGCAGCCGTTATGTTTGGTAGTATTTTACGTTACAGTTGCATTAAATGTTCATAACCTTACAACAGAGACCATATAATAGATTATTAACTTTAGGGGCCGTTCATAATTTATGGCTACGGGGGGTGATGATGATTTGTATGGAAAAGCATGTACAAAGTGAATGACACCCACCCCCAACCCCCCACCCCAAAAAAATAAAAAAATATATGTACAAAATAAGTGATCCCCTGCATGTCATGCCCTAAAATATATGTCCAAAATCAATCACCCCCCCCATAATTCCCCTTCCAAAATTGCTGACCCCCAGTACGTGTGTACAAAACTGCTCCCCAGCTCCACCGCAGAACAAAATGGGTGAACCCCTCCTTAAAATCATCAACAACACACACACACACACACACACTCCCCCACCCCCCCGCCATAAATTATGAACGGTCCCTTAGCAAACAAATAAAACAATTTGTACTTACATATTAGCAGGGAGACTATAATAACGTAGTAGATAATCCCTGATATTAGTTTCTAACATTAAATTTTGTGTGACGTAAAATACGCTAGAAAATACCCCTACTTCCATAGTAACTGCCGTTTATTAAATTTGCTTGTTAGATTTCACAAAATATATTACACAACTAGAGGAAATTTCCTTTTTTAAATTTCGTTTTTTGGTTTTTTCCCACACTCCAGCTTTCCTGCTCGTTGAGGCTGGAGACAAGAAATATAACAGATTGAGATGACCTGGGATTGTTTTTATTCATAGTAGAGACTGAGTAAGTCTAGAATTGAAAACTCCCTACAGCGATTTTCGTCATCCAGTGTGAATCACATTTCACCAAAGGTTATGTTTGAAGTTGATGAAACGCGTCACACTATTGAACTTGGAAGTGCAGCTGTCACAATCTGTCGATGAACGAACTTTAAGTCATGGATATATGGAAAAAGAACTGAACGGCATTTCAAAGCACGCGCAGGGTGTTTCTGTAAGGTACTATATTTCACAGAAACCACAAAATTGGACGAAGGTCGAGGAGATGTGTGGTTGTGGAGAACGGACGTGTTGATGAGATCGTGAGGTCAACAGAGTTCTCGGTGTAACCGGTTGTTGTTGTTGCGGTCAACATGACATTCGACAGTAGAAGGTACGTTTATAGTCACATCCACTGATTACACGACCTCTCAGTATCACCAGGCCGACATTACTGCATAAATACTACCCCTGACCTAGACTGGACACTGGCTCCCAACCACTGAGCAAGTCAGCACATACCTCAAACGGCAAAGTCTCTGCATGATCACACTTTTATCTTGAACTTCTTCAGCACCTTGTCATTTTATGTTGAACAAATATTAGGTTTAAAAATATAAACATTAAATAAAAAAATGTATATATACTTATGTGTATGTATTAACCCTGCCTCTTAGTGTGCTGGTATTGTTATCATATATATATACATCACAGCAGTGGACACTGATGGCCCAGTGGATGGTTAAGAAAGTCAAACATCATTGGAAATAATTATTTTTAACATCTGTGTGCTTTACATAACTCACAAAAGCTTGCATCATGTTCATACAACAAGAACGAATTAATTTTATGTTGAATCGTGGTATAACTTCCTTGAAATGCTTGTATTTGGGGGAGTTATCTTATTTAAAGGCAACAAAAAATCAACAATAGCTGAAACAGTAGATAATTAATATATCCAAGCTAAGACCAACTCATGCACACATACAGCCACAAGTCAAGACGCATGAATCATAGCCACAGTGAGCCATCCATCACTTCAATCATCAAGACCACCCTCCTCTGTACAGTGACCTATATCTCTTGTGCAGGGCTCGAAAATTCAACTCGTCCGCTCGTATTGACGAGTAACATTTGTTTCGGGCAAGTGAAAAACATAATGTGCTCGTCCTACTGTGGACGAGTACCTGTACGTTTTCTGACCCAAAAGAAACATTTTTCTTTTTCCTTGAAATTCAGCTATCTTAAATGGTGAACAAATTCAATTTTGTCAAAGTTTTTGAACCAAGACAAAGTAAGTAATGTTTATTGTAGCTTTATTCCAAGCAAAGGCTTTGAAATTAAATAATTTAAATTTATATTCATTGTAATGCATGATCTTATAGGGCAAGTACAAATTTAGAAGGACTCGTGAAAAGTTCATATCAGATTTTAAATGTTTTGAGCCCTGCTTATGGCAACTGATATAGTATATGTATGAGTGACATCCTGTAAGTTCAGTCTGGCGTTTGTTCAGTAACATATTTTCAGTGAAAGTACTGTGGCAAACTGAAAATGATAACAACTGCTGTATCTTATCCGGTTATGGTTATGGTCAGATTGTTCCTGCAGACAGAGATTCACTTCACCTCTCCACAAAAGAGAAATAAGAAAAACAAGATTTATGGATGTCAACTTCTTTATTGTTAATAACACGACGTTTCGGAGCGTATGCTTGCTCCTTCAATTGGAAGGAGCAAACATACGCTCCAAAATGTCATGTTATAACAATAAAGAAGCTGACATCCATAAATCTTGCTTTTCTTATGTATACACTTCTAAATGCCCTTCAAGGAAAAGAGAAATAGATTTATGTCTATTTGACATCCCCTATAAGTATAAAACCTGTGAAAGCTGATACTTGATAGCTTCACTTAAGCCAACTTTCTGTATTTATGAACATTTTAAAGTTTATGTATTACAATTTTTGGTGACAATGATTTCACATAGAAAGAATATTCAGAGAAAGAATAGAGTTTAAGATTTTAACTCTAACTTATCAAGTACTAAATGGAACTGCTCCACTCTATCTCCAAGCCCTTGTCTCACCCTACGTCCCACCGAGGAATCTCAGATCTGCCGATCAATCACTTCTTGTTGTGCCTCCATATAAACTCAAAACTTTCGGACATAGATCCTTCAAACATTCAGCTGCTTTCTTGTGGAACTCTCTCCCTACAGACATCAAATCTGCTCCAACTCTCTCAAGTTTTAAATCTCATCTAAAGACATTCCTTTTTCTTTGCTATTGACAGTCTTGTGTTTGTGCTTAGAGCATGGCCAAGTGTTGTGGAGTCAAGCGCATTACAAATGATCTATATTATTATAGAATCTTCCAGTCATTGTTGATAATTTTCTTTGGATATGTGCTGTGTAAAAAATCAAATACAAGAAATATTTTGATCAGTATGTGTAGTGTTAGCCTGTCTCACAGTGCTTGAACTGCCTAGCCCCTTTCTACAATGCTAAAGCTCTAAATGAAGCAAGTCTAGAATCAGGCTCAGGAATACTGAGTCCCATGGGTACTCATACTGCTGTCAATCGCTGGGTGGCCATCAAGGACCAATAACTTTATGACTGCTCTGTGACTTACCTGACTTACAGTCTGTTTGACTAGAAAGTGTCCCCATGAATTGCTAAATATACTAGGCACATAAAGAAACTGTGCATACAAAAATTTAAATCTAAATTTATCAAACCTGTGTAGACACATAAGGATTTAAACTCAGAGATTAGTGACATGTATCCAACATGCATGCACGTGCCACGTTCCGTGACGTCAGTGGGTTCGTCCTTGAGACGTGCAATATGTTGTTGCACGTGCATTCCGGGAAAGAGAAACAGAGCAAATGAATGCCACACAATACTGTCACTTTGGAAAGCTCAACCCCTGCCCTTGCAATCGTTCAAAAAATTAAACGGCTATTGAAACGCATAGCATGCCAAGGCTCACGTCTGCACAACGTCATGAGGCCATTGGGATGGTCCGTGGGGGAATGTCTCAACGACAAGTGGATGCACATTTCCACTGCCACCGGAACACCATTTCTGCACTGGTGAGACGCTACCAGAACAGCCAGAACATCGATCGGCCACATTCTGGACGTCCACGTGAAACAACGCCAAGACAGGACAGATGGATAAGGGTGACCCATCTTCGCCACAGGTTTCAGACTGCAGTGATAACTGCCCGAAGCATCCCAGGACTTCGCCGTATCCACCCCAACACAGTTCGACAACGTTTACGTCATCACGGGATCAGACCAAGACGTCCCGCCATACTGCCTATCCTGACACAACGTCATCGACAAGCTCGCCGAATGTGGTGCCGAAATCATGTCCGCAGACCCTTGTTTTGGTGGAGAAATGTTGTTTTTACAGATGAGTCCAGGTTTAACATTTCCCATAGTGATGGATGTCAACGTGCCTATAGACGCGTGGGAGAACGTTATGCACAGGCCTGTGTCTTGGAGAGGAATCGCTTTGGTGGTGGTTCCGTGATGATTTGGGGTGGAATAACAGCACGCCAAATAACTCCTTTGGTGATTGTTCAGGGCAACTTAACAGGTGTGGGCTACAGGGATCAGATACTTCGACCTGTGGCAATTCCTTTTCTGAAACGTCATGGCACTGGGTTAACCTTCCAACAGGACAATGCCCGCCCTGCAGTGTGCTGATGATAGTTTGTTAAACAACTTTTTTTGTGATGCATGACAATTTCTAATAGATGAAAAGGTGTTTGGGTATAAGCAGACTGGTATAAGTTATTCATGAACATCTTGCCTCGTAATATTTATTAACTATACCTTTCTAAACTGATATATTTAGCAAATCATGGGGACACTTTCTAGTCAAACAGACTGTAGTCCTCTTTACTCCTTGGGGAGCATAGGGCCTCAACAGTTGTCCTCCATGCTTGCCGGTCAGTGGCTATGCTCTTGGTAGCCTCCCAGGTTAAGCCGCCTTCCCTCAGATCTTTTTCCAGGCTTCGTCTCCAGGCCTGTACTCAAGTTTATCTATTTCTGACGTTTCAACAGGGGTACGTGTGATTAGATGTCACATGACCGGAAACTAGCGACGTGTATGTCAATATTATGTTTATGTGAATGATATAAACCATTCTTCAGTATCATACAGTTATTTTTATTATGCACATATCAGAAGTATTTTAGGCTCAAACCTTTTGATAGTCCCTCGTACTTCTAGATCTGCTCTTATCAAGATCATGCAATGACATTTTTGTTTTTTCTAGTAAAATGAGTCATGATTATTTCAGTGGTGTTCCACTGTCAGACTGTCATTGCTCCATAGTGTCTACTTAGGGCTGCTGACTTCTGCTGTTAACCAGTAGTTTAGTACTATGAATAATCTGAACCTAGTTAGTTCAAGTGAAAACGTTACTTCAGGAAATACAGAAGATACTTTGTACAGTTTTAAGGTTATGTTTTTGAGAACAGCTTACTCCTAATTTTGTGTTTCAGTTTCTAAATCACCACACTTAAAGGTACAACAGAACTCTGTTTAGTTTCCACAGGACCTGTCTTGTAAGAAATGTTTAGCCTGCTGTACTTGCCTTATCTGAACAAAATCCTAGACTGACAGTGACAAAATTCAGATATGTTTATCATAACTCTGTTTACCATCCATACTGTTTAATGGGGAAAAATGTGATATGCCTATTTTACACAGCGTTCAGTTCCTGACTTGTGACGTTGTGTGGAGCTCTGATGATGATGATGATGATGAAGATGATGACAATAAAGTTGCAAATGACATTGGTGAGAAGGGAATGTCAAGAAGTTTATCGGAATCAAAGACTAATGACTGGAGCACTGTAAGTACCACAGGTATATCATTCTTATAGTGTTGGATGAACCTACCCCGGGTAAATATCCCATGTTGGTGTGCAGGCTGCCCCCCATATATACTGAGTCAAAAAAGAAACTTCACATTCTTTCTTCAGGGCACTATAAAACAACAAGAGATGGTAAAATTTATTAAATTGTTATTATTTCATTGCTGAGATCTGTGTGATGTACTCGATACACTGACAGTGCCATAATCAGTTCCATAAGGCTACACCGCCGTTCCAAAACATGGGTATACAGAATGTCAAGTCACAAGAATAAAAATGCAAAATTTCTCAGTTCAATATCATGTATGGCCACCCCGCGCATTCACCACTGCCAAACATCGTCTCCTCATCGACTGCCTGATGCTTGTGAACACGTGGTTGGGGATTCTGAGCAATTGCTCTTGCAAGGCAGCGCCAAGTTCCTGCAAATTCTGAGGTTAGTTCCTAAGGCCACGAAGCCTTCTCCCAAGTGCATCTTAAACATGCTCTATTGGATTAAGGTCAGGGGAAATTTCGTGTCAAGATCACGGTATGCGGCAGAGCATTATCATGCTGGAACTGTAGACCTGGGCCATGAGCCGCCATGAAAGGAACGAGTTCAGGGGTGAGCACCTGGTTGCGGTAAGCAGCAGCTGTGAGGTTTCCACGGATGACCAGAAGTCGGGAACAGTTGTTCCAACAGAAAGCACCCCACACCATGCAACTTCCGCCCCCGAATCTGTCGACTTCCTGTACACAACATTGGGCATACCGTTCACGACGTAGTCTCGAGACTCTATGCCTGCCGTCCGCAAATCTGAGGGTAAACCTGGATTCATCGCTAAAGACGACCCGATTCCAGTCTCTCTGGGTCCATTGGAGGTGACGTTGGGCCCACAGCAGACGTTGACGTTGATGAAACGGCGTCAATATTGGCCGACGATATGGACGTCGTGAATGGAGATTGGCAGCCCGCAACTGATTTTGAATTGGTGCCAATTCTTGAGGCCAATGCAAACACGTGCATATGAAGAAAACTTGGATGCGAAGATCACGTGATCGACTGCACGTGCAAAACCTGATTTGGCACTAACGTCATTTGCACGATGAATGGATGGGTTTGAGTTGGTTTTGCTAACGTTTTTCTAGAGTCGAAAGATAGGGATCCCATTTCGGATACATAGATGTATCATCAGAAAAAAATTATTCATTATTTTTCAAATTACATTTTGTGAAGTTTCTTTTTTGACTCAGTATATTTGAATGTAACAAAACATGACACGACGGACTGTAGGTCATCATGCTCAGATGACATGAGTCATTGTGCCAAGACGACATGAGTGATTGTGTCCAGACAACATGAGTCATTGTGCCCAGACGACATGAGTGATTGTGTCCAGATGACATGAGTGATTTTGGCCCAGATGATATGAGTGATTGTGCCCAGATGATATGAGTGATTGTGCCCAGATGACATGAGTGATTGTGCCCAGATGACATGAGTCATTGTGTCCAGATGACATGAGTCATTGTGCCCAGATGATATGAGCGATTGTGCCCAGATGATATGAGTGATTGTGCCCAGATGACATGAGTCATTGTGTCCAGATGACATGAGTCATTGTGCCCAGATGACATGTGTCATTGTGCCCAGATGACATGAGTCATTGTGCCCAGATGACATGAGTCATTGTGTCCAGATGACATGAGTCAGATGACATGAGTCATTGTGTCCAGATGACATGAGTCATTGTGTCCAGATGACATGAGTCAGATGACATGAGTCATTGTGCCCAGATGACATGAGTCATTGTGTCCAGATGACATGAGTCAGATGACATGAGTCATTGTGTCCAGATGACATGAGTCATTGTGCCCAGATGACATGAGTCATTGTGTCCAGATGACATGAGTCATTGTGCCCAGATGACATGAGTGATTGTGCCCAGATGACATGAGTGATTGTGTCCAGATGACATGTGTCATTGTGCCCAGATGACATGAGTCATTGTGTCCAGATGACATGAATCATTGTGTCCTTATGACGTGTCATTTTGTCCTTATGCCATGAGTCTTTGTGCCCATAAAGTATGTGTCATTGTGCCCAGATGACATGTGCCATCATGCCCTGATGACAAGTGTCATCATGACCAGATGACATGAAATAAATCAACCAGGCATTTGGTTTTGAGCAACTGATAATGCTTGGACACATGATGTTTCCTTTGAGTTATTCTGGATGGTATTTTTTCTAGAACATAGCAGCAGGTTCCACAGACGAGGTGTGGCTACAGCAGCTAGAGAAGTGCGAGTGTGTTGGGTTTGTGGCCAGTCCAGATAACAACAGGTAAACCATGCTTTACACAGATTATTGTTTGTGGATACCACTGAAAAAGATGTCTTAGAATCAGAGATTCCTTCAAGGTTATGTTATGGAGTGATGTTCATTGACCATTGTGGTCTTCCAAGTTCTCTTCCGTGATCCCGGGAGAGACACCAAAATATGTGACCTGGGTCTCCTACTGTGTTGTGTCATTAAGGGGGCAAGGCACTTCGCCCACATTGCACTCAGTCCACCCAGCTGTTTAAAATGGGTACCTGAGAAGCGGATGTATGGACCTATACAGTCGCGCAAAGCGCTTAGTAAGCTGCTTTGAAAGTGTAGTTCCTAGGTGCAGGGTAATTAATGTAACTCTCAGAGAACAGCATTGAGTTGGATCCTAGGTGCAAAACTTAGCATTATTATTATTCTCTCTCTGGAATTGCTCTCTCTCTCTCTCTCTCTCTCTCTCTCTCTAGAATACTCTCTCTCTCTCTCCATCTCTCTCTCATGAATGTGGAATACATGCAATTCTGATTGGACAATCAGAGGGTTCTGATTGCCACCATCCATTCAGCTGTTTCTTTGAGAGCTGCTTATTGTCCAGAGATTAATATTCAGAGACACAGGAAGTTATTGTCCTAATGATATCACTTCAGCCTGTGCCACTGTGGTCTAGAAGCAAGGGATCATGCCGTGAGTCTGGATGAAAAGGATTCTAAACCTCAGTGGAACAGAAACACCAATATCAGAAGGTCGAAAACTGATGCTATTGGCAGGATACAGTTCCAAGACGATGACCTTGACTCTTGGGTGAGATGGCATTTGATGCTTTCATGGAAAGAGGAATTCAGCATTCATTTCATTATGTTTTGGGGTAGAAATGACTTAAAGGGATCAAACATCAAGTTATAGTTCTAGGTGTGTTCAGATGCTGACATTCAGCATTGAAAGTGTTATTTGTCTTTTAGTAATGGCACAAAACCTGGCTTTAATTGTCAGTAGAAAAGTATAATACTTTATGGATGACTATAGCTTCTTATACCGTTGTCAAGCAAGAGTGCTCCGTTGTCAAGCAAGAGTGCTTGACAACGATATAAGAAGCTATACGAAACGTCGCATCATATCAAATAAAGAAGTTGTTATCCATAAAGTATTATACTTTTCTATTATCCATCAACTTCTAAAATGCCAATCAAACAGATCAGTTTAATTGTCAGATTCAACTTTTTTGTTAAACCAAATGTTAAAGGTCACATGCAACGTAAAACACAACTTTGCAGATTCTGATTCTGCAGATTCACTAATTTTCCCCCGACTTTTCGGGGGAAAACTGGTTTCAACAGCTGGGCTGCGCTTTAGGTTCGGTAACTTGGAAGCGGGCTGTCCGTTGAATACTCGGTGAAGGCTTTGGTGTGAGCTATTTTCCTAATGTTTTGTTGATATCTCACAGGCGAGAGCTTTTTATGTGTTATGACAGTAAATAAACTGTTTCTATAATTTCATTTGTCTATTTGACCACACGTTCTTCTTACCGAGTCACTTTCTCAGTTTGATACTTAAAAGCAAAGTCATTATTTAGCGTTGACAGAATTTCTAACTGTGATATAGATATGTCGTTGTCACAGACAAAACTCAATGTCTTGTTTTATTGACACCTGTGTGTCTGCCTGCCTGTCTGCTAATGACAATATTCAATACACAACTGCGATCACTGACCACATGCAATTTGAACTTAACACCAATCAGGCTATACACCATAAACAAAACGCATTGATTTACAGCCCGAGTTCGGTCTCTGTCACATTATGTAATTACACAGACAGGCAGGTGTGATACTTGAACACATGACATGTTATGATGTCTGTTGATTGCAAAATGTTATACTCAAAAAATGAGCATGTATTTACAAAACCCATCATCTCTATATATACACACACAATGAGCCGTGAGGGCATCTGCAAATGAACCAGCCGTTACACTTGAGTGCACACCCACCCGCTCTGACTGGGTTCGGTATCCCGGCTGCTTCGTTTCTTGGGAAGTAAACCCAAGTACACAATATTGCACTTTTGATGTGCGATTGTACGCTTATAATTTTGTTTATATGTTTTTTAATAACCAGCAATGTATATTATATGTCATAAATAAGTGATAATTGTGTTTTAATTATGTTTGATTTTTTGGTTGCATGTGACCTTTAAGATACCTCTGTATGAAAATTTGTATGTTCAGAAAAAAACATTAAAACCAGACTTTAGCCAGTGTATATCTGGTTATATCATGGGAAAAAAGGATTTTGTTAAGTATTGGCACTAATACAGTGTAAAAGTGAAGGTGTATTATTCAAAGAATAAAAAATATAATGAATATACCTTTTATTTGAATTTTAAATTGCTTGCACATAAAAAGTTTAAAAGTGAGCTCCAGACCCTTCTTTCTCTTTCAAGTATTTGCGCCTGGATTTTGAAACCAAAGAGGAGAAGTTGCAATATCTCCTTGGCAACATCCTGCATCTCTCTCATTACAACCTCTACATCCACTTCCTGGACTTCCAACAGGGTGACGACGACCTGACAGCCAGTCAACAGACACAGCTGCAGGAGAGACTCGAGAGTGGACTCAAAACTCTCGCACTGAAGACCAGTACGCCACTGAACATTGTATATTCTTGTGTTGGAGATGGGCTTGGGGTGGGTGGATGGGGTTGGCCATTGGACCTGGAGATGGAGTTAGGGCTGTTGATGGGGGTTGGTCATTTGAGCTGGAGATGGGGTTATAGCTGGGATGAAGATATTGTTGGGCCTGGGGATTGGGTTTGGGGAGATGGGGTTGGTCTTATAGGGTTGGAGATGGGGTTGGTCTTATAGGGTTGAGATGGGGTTGGTCTTATAGGGTTGGAGATGGGGTTGGTCTTATAGGGTTGGAGATGGGGTTGGTCTTATAGGGTTGGAGATAGGGTTGGTGAGAATAGGGTTGGTCTTATAGGGCTGGAGATAGGGTTGGGGTTATAGGGTTGGAGATGGGGTTGGTCTTATAGGGTTGGAGATAGGGTTGGTCTTATAGGGCTGGAGATAGGGTTGGGGTTATAGGGTTGGAGATGGGGTTGGTCTTATAGGGTTGGAGATGGGGTTGGTCTTATAGGGTTGGAGATGGGGTTATAGGGTTGGAGATGGGGTTGGTCTTATAGAGTTGAGATGGGGTTGGTCTTATAGGGTTGGAGATGGGGTTATATGGGGTTATAGGGTTGGAGATGGGGTTGGTCTTATAGAGTTGAGATAGGGGTTGGTCTTATAGGGTTGGAGATGGGGTTATAGGGTTGGAGATGGGGTTGGTCTTATAGAGTTGAGATGGGGTTGGTCTTATAGGGTTGGAGATGGGGTTGGTCTTATGGGGTTTTAGATGGGGTTGGAGATGGGGTTATAGGGTTGGAGATGGGGTTGGTCTTATAGGGTTGGAGATGGGGTTGGTCTTATAGGGCTGGAGATGGGGTTGGGGTTATAGGTTTGGAGACCGGGTTGGTCTTATAGAGTTGAGATGGGGCTGGTCTTATAGGGTTGGAGATAGGGTTGGTCTTATAGGGCTGGATATAGGGTTGGGGTTATAGGGTTGGAGATGGGGTTGGTCTTATAGGGTTGGAGATGGGGTTGGTCTTATAGAGTTGAGATGGGGTTATAGGGTTGGAGATGGGGTTGGTCTCTATAGTTGGTCTTATAGGGTTGGAGATGGGGTTATCTTATAGGGCTGGATATAGGGTTGGGGTTATAGGGTTGGAGATGGGGTTGGTCTTATAGGGTTGGAGATGGGGTTAGTCTTATAGAGTTGAGATGGGGGGCTGGTTATAGGGTTGGGGTTGGGGATGGGGGAGATGTTGGTCTTATAGGGTTGGAGATGGGGTTGGTCTTATAGGGTTGGAGGGTTGAGTTATAGGGTTGGTGATGAGGTTGGTCTTATAGGGTTGGAGATGGGGTTGGTCTTATAAGGTTGGAGATGGGGTTGGGGTTATAGGGTTGGAGATTGGGTTAGGGTTAAAGGGTTGGAGATGGGGTTGGTCTTATAGGGTTGGAGATGGGGTTGGGGTTAAAGGGTTGGAGATGGGGTTGGTCTTATAGGGTTGGAGATGGGGTTGGTCTTATAGGGTTGGAGATGGGGTTTGGGGTTATAGGGTTGGAGATGGGGTTGGTCTTATAGGGTTGGAGATGGGGTTGGTCTTATAGGGTTGAGATGGGGTTGGGGTTATAGGGTTGGAGATGGGGTCGGGGTTATAGGCTTGGAGATGGGGTCGGGGTTATAGGGTTGGAGATGGGGTTGGTCTTATAGGGTTGGAGATGGGGTTGGGGTTATAGGGTTGGGGTTATAGCTGGGGTTGGAGATATAGCTGGGGTTGGAGAAGGGAGGTGGGGTGATCTTTGTTGGATTTATCACTGTCACAAGATATTTTTAATCTCCAAATACATGTGGGGACTTGAAGGTACTAGATTTTGTACTCTATTAGGAAGGTGTACTCCCAGTGTTTCAGAACATTGATTGATCCTCAAATTGGTTTTCAGAGTTGTTTATCAGCTCAACAGGCATGAAGACAGGCATGTCGCGTCACATCCACACTGTCCTGACAAAACTATGCAGCAACCCAGTTTTCCATGCTGAGGTGTTCCGTCTGGCTTGTGCACCTTGGGGACGCCTTGCAGATGCAGAGAGGTCAAAGTTAACTGGACCGTCATCGGCAAGACTATGATATTTATATGAATTATCAAAAATGGATAAAGAGATATTCTCAAATGATCAAACTTTAAAAATATCCCAGGCAATCATTTTATCTCACACTAATATTTTATGAACACGCTATAAGACTGATGTTTGGAATAATTTGAATATTTCTTTTCCTTCAACTTAGGAGCAGGTTCAAGTGATAAAGCCGGGGCAGAGGGAGGAAGAGAATGTGTTGGGGGAAGAGTTATCCCCCTTCTTCAGTCATTATCTGCTTTTTGATGATGGTGTCATCAGTCCAACACCAACTTTATCCAGCACAAAACATGCATGCTCTTTCAGGAAAAATATCAAAAACATTCTAGATCACATGAGTAAGTTCATTTGAAACATACAGTCACAGGAGGAGTCTAAAACTGCTATAAGTTTTTGAACAGCATTTATAAGTGATATGTCTTAAATGGGGTGGGATGTCTTGTTAAAACAAGCAGTTAAAACAGTTTTCTGGAAACTAGTTTCAGTGGGAAATACTAGAAGTTTCTGGAAACTTTACAATATTGTTATGAAAAGCATCATGGGTGAGCTACAGACCCTGATTTCCCCTGCAGGTGAAGATGCTGTGAGTGTGTATGTTCTGATCAATGGTGGAGCTGTGGCACTGCACCGGGTGTACAAGGCCATCAAGACCGGACACCCTGTTATCATCATACAGGTAGGCTTTTACAGATGCAGAATTGATTCCTTTTGGTATGATGAGTGAACACTTTGGTAAGATGAGTGAACAGTTTGGTACTGTAGTATTGATGCCATGACTTGTTATATTTATGCCATGACATGACTGTAGTATTGATACCATGGCTTATTGTATTTGATGCCATGGCTTATTGTATTGATACCATGGCTTATTGTATTGATACCATGGCTTGTTGTATTGATACCATGGCTTGTTGTATTGATACCATGGCTTATTGTATTGATACCATGGCTTATTGTATTGATGCCATGGCTTGTATTGATACCATGGCTTATTGTATTTGATGCCATGGCTTGTTGTATTGATACCATGGCTTATTGTATTTGATGCCATGGCTTATTGTATTGATACCATGGCTTATTGTATTGATACCATGGCTTATTGTATTGATACCATGGCTTATTGTATTGATACCATGGCTTGTTGTATTTATGTCATTACATGACTGTAGTATCGATGCCATGACTTGTTTTTTTTTATGCCATGGCTTGTTGTATTGATGCCATGGCTTGTTGTATTTATGTCATGACTTGTTGTTTTGATGCCATGGCTTGTTGTATTTATGTCATTACATGACTGTAGTATTGATGCCATGGCTTGTTGTATTGATGCCATGGCTTGTTGTATTTATGCCATGGCTTGTTGTATTGATGCCATGGCTTATTGTATTTATGTCATGACTTGTTGTATTGATGCCATGGCTTGTTGTATTTATGCCATGGCTTGTTGTTTTGATGCCATGGCTTGTTGTATTTATGTCATGACTTGTTGTATTTATGCCATGGCTTGTTGTATTGATGCCATGGCTTGTTGTGTTTATGCCATGGCTTGTTGTATTGATGCCATGGCTTGTTGTATTTATGCCATGGCTTGTTGTATTGATGCCATGGCTTATTGTATTTATGTCATGACTTGTTGTATTGATGCCATGGCTTGTTGTATTTATGCCATGGCTTGTTGTTTTGATGCCATGGCTTGTTGTATTTATGTCATGACTTGTTGTATTTATGCCATGGCTTGTTGTATTGATGCCATGGCTTGTTGTGTTTATGCCATGGCTTGTTGTATTGATGCCATGGCCTGTATTTATGCCATGGCTTGTTGTATTGATGCCATGGCTTGTATTTATGTCATGACTTGTTGTATTGATGCCATGGCTTGTTGTATTGATGCCTCGGCTTGTTGTATTTATGTCATGACTTGTTGTATTGATGCCATGGCTTGTTGTATTGATGCCATGGCTTGTTGTGTTTATGTCATGACTTGTTGTATTGATCTCATGGCACAACTGTAGTATTGATGTCATGACACTGCTTTAGTATTGAAGCCATGGAAGCCATTGCACCACCATAAGGTAACTTCTGTTACCTGTATTATAGCACAGGACGATTCCCTGTTTTACACATCATCATGTTTGTAATTTTTTCCTCTCTTTTAGAGAACTGGTGGTTATGCGGACAAACTTGCCAGAAACTATTTTTTAGCACAGATAATTCTTGAGAAGTTTCTGGATCAGACAGGCAAGATAGCTGTAAGGTATGCTGCCCTGAAACATTTACTTACCCAAAGAAATCAGGACATGATAATAATAATAATAATTGTCTATTTATCATGCGCATTTCTCCGTGCACAATGCATGCTCGAAGCACCCAAACAATCTGGTTATTATTACCCTGGATATCCCAAGCTGCCTGTGAAGCGCTAGAAGGTTAATGGTTACATGACATCCCACCGGGTACCCATTTTCTGCTGGGTGAACAGAGGCAATTTTGAACAAACTCACTTGTCTTCGTTGTGGGGCAGGATAAACTCTCAGGAGTGTGCCCAACGTTGCTAAACTTCAACTGATTATAAACTGAGCTCTATGCACAGGACCACACACTACCACACACATCCTCTAAGAGCCTGAAACTAGAGTTCATGATATCTTAAATGTTAAACACACTGTGCTCTGCCTAGTAAGCCAGAGATCAGGGATAATCAGTTTCAGTTGCTGGAAGCGATGTCCTCATCTGCTTCCGATTTTGCACACAAGTGTCTAAGGGCCTATAGGGTGGGCAGTCAGGGGAGGAGAAACAGAAGCAGTCAGGGGTGGGTGAGAGGTAGTCAGGGGTGGGACAGAAGCAGTCAGGGGTGGGTGAGAGGCAATCAAAGATGGGACAGAAGCAGTCTGGGATGGGTCAGAAGCAAGTCAGGGATGGGACAGAAGAAGTCAGGGGTGGGTCAGAGGCAGTCAGGGATGGATCAGAGGCAGTGAGGGATAGGTGAGGGGTGGGTCAGAAGCAGTCAGGGGTGGGTCAGAGGCAGTGAGGGGTGGGTCAGAAGCAGTCAGGGGTGGGTCAGAGGTGAGGTGAGGTGAGGTGAAATTGGGTTTAACGTCGTACTTGAGAATATTTCGCTCATATGACAACGTGCATGCGTGTGTGTGTGTGTATGTGCGGCTGCTTGTACTAGCCCAGACTTAAGCTGGTTTTATAGTGCTAGCCCACTGAGATACCATGCCGCAGTGAAGCATGAATACCCCACTCAGACACATTATACTGACTCCGTGCTGACCAGTCCTTGTTGTACCCATTAATGCCGAGCACCAGACAGGGACCAACAAGTACCATATTTTTTACGTCTTTTGGTATGACGCAGTCGGGGATCGAACCCGCGACCTTCCGCTCTCTGGGAGGACGCTCTAACCACTACACCACGGAGGCGGTCCAGGGGTGGGTCAGAGGCAGTCAAGGATGGGACAGAAGCAGTCAGGGGTAGGTCAGAGGCAGTCAGGCATGGGTCAGAGGCAGTGAGGGATAGGTGAGGGATGGGTCAGAAGCAGTGAGGGATGGGTCAGAGGCAGTGAGGGGTGGGTCAGAAGCAGTCAGGGGTGGGTGAGAGGCAGTCAGGTGTGGGCGAGAGGCGGTCAGGGATGGGTCAGAGGCAGTGAGAGATGGGTCAGAAGCAGTCAGGGGTGGGTCAGAGGCAGTCAGGGATGGGACAGAAGCAGTCAGGGGTGGGTCAGAGGCAGTCAGGGATGGGACAGAAGCAGTCAGGGGTGGGTCAGAGGCAGTCGAGGTGGTTCAGAGGCAGTCAAGGGTGGGTCAGAGGCAGTCAGGGATGGGTCAGAGGTGGTTCAGAGGCAGTCAAGGATGGGACAGAAGCAGTCAGGGGTGGTTCAGAGGCAGTCAAGGGTGGGTCAGAGGCAGTCAGGGATGGGTCAGAGGCAGTCAGGGCTGGGTCAGAAGCAGTGAGTGATGGGTGAGAGGCAGTGAGGGGTGGGTTAGAAGCAGTCAGGGGTGGGTGAGAGGCAGTCAGGGATGGGTCAGGGGTGGTCCAGAGGCAGTCAAGGGTGGATTAGAAGCAGTGAGGAGTGGGTGAGAGGCATTTAGGGATGGGTCAGGGGTGAGTCAGAGGCAGTCAAGCGTGGGTCAGGGGTGGGTCAGAGGCAGTCAAGGGTGGGTCAGAGGCAGTCAGGGATGGGTCAGAAGCAGTGAGGGGTGGGCCAGAGGCAGTCAAGGTTGGGTCAGAGGCAGTCAAGGGTGGGTCAGAGGCAGTGGGGAGGGTCAGAGGCAGTCAGGGATGGGTCAGAGGCAGTCAAGGGTGGGTCAGAGGCAGTCAAGGGTGGGTCAGAGGCAGTGAGGGGAGGGTCAGAGGCAGTGAGGGGAGGGTCAGAGGCAGTCAGGGATGGGTCAGAGGCAGTCAGGGATGGGTCTCCCCTAACTATGACAGTTTCCGGGGTCAGTTATGAAAACAATACACATGTTTGTACTTAAGGGCAACAAAAACCATCCACAACTATAAATGACTAAAACCATCGACTACTCTAAATGACTAAAAGCATCCACTTCATTAAAATATGTCTTTTTCTGGCTCAACCAAGATGATGTATATGTCTGATGGAGTATACCTCATGGATATTTTAGTTGTACATTTAGGAGATAAACATCGTTTCCGGGTGTTATTGAGTATTTGATGCACAGGAATTCATTTGGAACCGACAGCAATAGCCGGAGCATTCAAATGAAATATTCCTGTGCTTCAAATACTCAATATGACCCGGAAATTGGCCAACACATGATGTTTATCGACATTGTAAACACAAAAGTAAACCAAAAGGTCCACACACGTTTCTGTTGACATCGAGTACGGGTACAGCAGTGAAATGTCATCAGCTGACGACGCAACAATACAATGGCGTGTGCGATGTTTGTACATATTAATATGCAGCAAATGGTCTTGCAATTTCGGTGAATCGAATATCAATCAGATTAAAAAACTTTTGGTTTACAATATGTGAAGAAGGTATGTTTATACTGGTGCTCTCCTGCCATGTCATAGTGATGCTCCCTACACTATACACTAAACCCTTCACAGGTCCAAGCTGAAACCAGCTAAAGTGTTGGAGGATATAGATGAGGAAGATGAGAAGAAAGTTCGATATATATTGGAACACAACAACCTGCTGACTGTTTTCGATCCCTTCCATCAGACGCAGGGCCTCGACATGGTCATCTGCCAGGCTCTTCTGAAAGGTGGGTTGCAGAGCATCTGTCGCCTATTGCAGAGCAGGTGTCACTTATTTGGAGCAGGTGTCGTTTATTGCAGAGCAGGTGTCACCTATTGTGGAGCATCTGTCGCCTATTGCAGAGCAGGTGTCACTTATTTGGAGCAGGTGTCGCTTATTGCAGAGCAGGTGTCACTTATTTGGAGCATCTGTCGCTTATTGCAGAGCAGGTGCCACCTATTGTGGAGCATCTGTCGCTTATTGCAGCATCTGTCGCCTATTGCAGAGCAGGTGTCACTTATTTGGAGCAGGTGTTGCTTATTGCAGAGCAGGTGTCACTTATTGCAGAGCAGGTGTTGCTTATTGCAGAGCAGGTGTTGCTTATTGTGGAGCAGGTGTCACTTATTCAAGAGCAAGTGTTACTTATTGTAAAGCAGGGGTCACGAGCGGTGAGCATTACTCTCACATGAACTTCAATGCTTAAAACTGAACCTTTGACATTCCTCGTAAACACAACCACATTCATGAAACACGTTGCGCACGTGCATTACCTGCACCCTAGCCCTTTAAAAGCACAAGGAATTTTGAAACTCAGTCACTTTGAAAAAAATGCCACGCTTGACACAAGAATCGGTATGGTCAGCCAAGGTGCTTCAGATGTGATGATTGCCAGGCACTTTAATGTCCATCCATCCACTGTTGGTCAACTCAGACAACGTTCTCGAGCCACCGGAAGTGTTGCTGATTGTCCATGACCTGGTGCACCATCTGTGACAACAGCACCATAATATCCGAGTTTCACGCTTGCAAAATCGGTACCAAACAGTTGCTGATACTGCAAGGAGGACAATTGGGCAGCGCCCAAACGGTGCGAGGATGCCTTGCTGCCTTCAACATCTGGTGTAGTCGCCCGTACCGTGGTCCAACCATATTGCATCGCCACAGACTTGCCAGACAGCTAATGGGGCCAATCTTGGCAACAGGCCATAGCGAGATGTCATTTTTTCAGATGAATCCAGGTTTAACGTATCCTTTGCAGATGGATGTCAAAGGATTTATCGACGTCAAGGAGAAAGTCTTGCACCAAAATGTGTCCTTGAACATGATCGTTTTGGAGGGGGGGTGGTGTCATGATCTGGTGTGCTATCAGTGCCAACTTCCGATCCCAGATGGTAGTGGTTTATAGCAATCTGAATACTCAACGTTCTGTAGACAATATCCTTTGTCCGGCTGTACTCATAATGATGGATCAACATGGCGGTTGTAACCATTTTATGTTTCAGCATGATAATGCACGTCCCCAGGGTAACAAGGGACTTTTTTAAATGCAATGGAGTTGTACATTGCAAAGCAAGTTTTGCAGGTTTTCAGGATAGTTGAGTTGCAGACTTATATGTTATATTGTGATATTGCTAAAGAAAGTATATTACAACCATTCACTCATTAACTCATGCTGCGGTACATTGCCTAGTAATATTAAATAAGGACAAAACATTATGGATGAACATCCATAAAGTTTTGTCCTTATCTGATTCCCCAACTTCTAAACATGCCACTTATAGAAGTTAGTAATATTAAGTGGAAGTGCTTTATGCCATATCTTTTCATCTTCATATCTCTGCCGTACAGATCTACAGTTTATTGGTGACTCATGTCCTCGTTTCAGGAAAACAAGAGACTCAGTTGAACAAGCTACTGGAATCATTTCAAACATCAGCCACCAAGACTGTAGCCCCCACCAGGACTGGTTCTAGGCCTAGTCAGCAGGAGTGTTTTCTGGGTGAGTCTCACGAAGCAATTGCAGGGTTTTGCATTGTGTTAGTTAATTCGGAAACTATTTATTGATGTTTTCCATCATGATATTCTTTTAAAAAACATGTATTGATTAAGAAAGTGGCAGCTGGTCAGCTGAAAAGAAGACGTGAAGGTTGTCAATGTTCTGATGTATTCCCAGGTTCAGATAGCATGCAGATGGACTTCCTGATCGAGGCCATGTTGAATGATAGCTCAGATGCAGTCGACACCATCTTGAAGGGAGAGCTCTGCCTGGTCAAACACTTCACCCAGTGCAGGTTCTGTCAGCTGTACAACAGGGTAAGTGTACTGTGTTGTGGAATGTTGGTCTGTGTCTAGTCAAACACTTCACCCAGTGCAGGTTCTGTCAGTTGTACAGCAGGCTAGGTGTACTGTGTTGTGGAATGGTGGTCAGTGTCTAGTCAAACACTTCACCCAGTGCAGGTTCTGTCAGTTGTACAACAGGGTAGGTGTACTGTGTTGTGGAATGGTGGTCTGTGTCTAGTCAAACACTTCACCCAGTGCAGGTTCTGTCAGTTGTACAACAGGCTAGGTGTACAACAGGCTAGGTGTACTGTGTTGTGGAATGGTGGTCAGTGTCTAGTCAAACACTTCACCCAGTGCAGGTTCTGTTAGTTGTACAACAGGCTAGGTGTACTGTGTTGTGGAGGAGCGATGTGTGTCTGAAATCTGCATTTCGTTGAATACTTGATTTTATTTCAGGAACAGTGTCTAGGATCCTGTCTTCCACTTCTCAAATCAGCCAATGCAAGAAATGTCGAGGTTAGATTTGATTGTCACAAAGTTGCCATGTCTCTTTAAGATGTCCCTCAGATTAGCTATAGACAGTGAAAACAAATAACACCTTTAACAGGCAAGACTTCACCTCATCATTGCGAGAGTATTATTATTATTATTGGATATTTATATAGCGCACATATCCACGCACTAGTGCTTGCTCAAGGCGCTGGTATGTTTTCCCTCGACCATTGGATGTCAATCTCAACGGCACATCTCGTTATCAATCTCAACTCCCTGGGGACCATACAACTCTGCAACAAGGCGCACCAAGTTATTGCGGCTTTCCCATCCTTACGAGGTACCCATTCACAGTTGGGTGAACTGGGACACATAGTCACAGTACTTTGTCCAAGTTTACTGCACGTTGCTGTACCCGCAACTGGGTGTCTGCACGTATTCATGTTGCATCCATCTGGTCATATACCAACAGATTCGTGGGTTCTTTTAAGTGCACAGGTTTGTGTACTGTACACTAGGGGTTGTGACAACACGGAAAGAGTCTGCACAAACATGACTCCTAGGTTTTTACACCCGGTCACAGGTGGGCTCGATCCCGGCACCTCATGCCTGCTGAATCACTAGCCTGGCTCCTTAGCCAGCTCGCCCACCACGCACCCGTAATATTCTCATCAGATGTTCCTTAGTTGTGACCAAACACAGGATTGAGGACTCAAAGCTCCTTGCAGTGACTCATCCATGTGACTGTTTCAGAGTCTGGGAGTGAAGGCAGACATGTTCTGCCCGTCTGATGTGCGACTAGTGCTGCGGGACCTCCTGGGTGGCTCCTACCCTATAAAGTGTAAAGGCAAGACCTGTCCCTGTGTTCTTCGGGCGGAGGACGTCCGCAGCATGAAGTACTTTGGTAGGTCATGAGTCTCGCATGCAGCTACATGCTCTTTCACATGGACAGTCACCCACAGTGTCAAACACTGGTTCTCATGTATCTTGTGCTGCCTGCAAACTCCAATATCTACTCTCTCACTCTCTGAGTTTGGTGACACAGCCCAACACACACTACAACACTGTGACACACTCTGTCATACACTGTTGTACATGTTGTTATTCTGTCAAACACACTGTGACACTTTCTCTCATAAACTGTCGTACATGTTGTTATTCCCTGTCAAACACACTGTGACACACTGTTACACACACTGTTGTACATGTTGTCATTCTCTGTCAAACACACTGTGACACACTCTGTCATACACTGTTGTACATGTTGTTATTCCCTGTCAAACACACTGTGACACACTGTGACACACACTGTTGTACATGTTGTCATTCCCTGTCAAACACACTGTGACACACTCTGTCACACACTGTTGTACATGTTGTTATTCCTGTCAAACACACTGTGACACACTTGTCATTCCCTGTCAAACACACACTGTTGTACATGTTGTACATGTTGTCATTCCCTGTCAAACACACAGTGACACACTCTGTCACACACTGTTGTACATGTTGTCATTCCCTGTCAAACACACTGTGACACACTCTGTCACTGTTGTACATGTTGTGTTCCTGTACATGTTGTTATTCTCTCTGTCAAACACACTGTCACACACTGTCAAACACACTATTGTACATGTTGTCATTCCCTGTCAAAACACACTGTGACACACACTGTGTACACACTCCTGTCAACACACACACTGTTGTACATGTTGTCATGTTGTCATTCTGTCAAACACACTGTGACACACACTGTCATACACTGTTGTACATGTTGTTATTCCCTGTCAAACACACTGACACACCGTCACACAGACTGTTGTACATGTTGTTATTGTACATGTTGTACATGTCATTCTCTGTCAAACACACAGTGACACACTCTGTCATACACTGTTGTACATGTTGTCATACCTGTCAAACACACTGTGTCACACACTGTTGTACATGTTGTCATTCCCTGTCAAACACACAGTGACACACTCTCTGACACACACTGTTGTACATGTTGTTATTCCCTGTCAAACACACTGTGACACACTGTTACACACACTGTTGTTCATGTTGTCATTCACTATCAATCACACTGTGACACATTGTCATACACACTGTTGTACATGTTGTCATTCCCTGTCAAACACACAGTGACACACTGTCATACACTGTTGTACATGTTGTCATTCCCTGTCAAACACACTGTGACACACACTGCCAAACACTGTTGTACATGTTGTGATACCTGTTAAACACACTGCGGCACACTCTGTTACACACATAGTTGTACATGTTTTCATACCCTGTCAAACACACTGTGAGTCACACACTGTTGTACATATTGTCATTCCCTGTCAAACACACTGTTACACACTCTGTTACACATACACTGTTGTACATGTTGTCATTCCCTGTCAAACACACTGTGACACACTCTGTCACACACTGTTGTACATGTTGTCATTCCACGCCTGTCAAACACACTGTGTTGTAAACACACTGTGACACACTCTGTTACACACTGTTGTACATGTTGTCATACCTGTCAAACACACTGTGACATGCTCTGTCATACACTGTTGTACATGTTGTCTTTCCCTGTCAAACACACTGTGACACACTGTTGTACATGTTGTCATTCCCTGTCAAACACACTGTGGCACACTCTGTTACACACACTGTTGTACATGTTGTCATTCCCTGTCAAACACACTGTGACACACTGTTACACACACTATTGTACATGTTGTGATTCCTATCCCTACAACACAGTTAAATCTAACCTGTGTCTTCATTGAAAGCACCATACATATTCCCTAGATGATATATGTCTTCGTACAGAACCCGACATGTATCGGACGTGTCTACCACCAATCCAGGAGTTGTTCCTGTGGGCTCTGCTGACCAACCATCAGAAATTGGCCAAGGTCTTCTGGAAACACAGTGAGGTTGGGACAGTTTACATAATAAAGCTTTTCTTAATGATGATTTGATTTTTTGCCACATGTTTGTAAGTGAGTGAGAGAAAAAATTAACACCAATTTGAGTATTGCAGTTATCAGTATGTATTGATTCAGAAACTGTATCATGCTTTGTTACCATGGTATCCCAGTGTCAGTAGACATAGAGCTACAACATGACACCTCAGTAGTGATGTAGCATTGTGTTACCATGATATCCCAGTGTCAGTAGACATAGAGCTACAACATGACATCTCAGTAGTGATGTAGCATTGTGTTACCATGGTATCCCAGTGTCAGTAGACATAGAGCTACAACATGACACCTCAGTAGTGATGTAGCATTGTGTTACCATGGTATCCCAGTGTCAGTAGACATAGAGCTACAACATGACACCTCAGTAGTGATGTAGCATTGTGTTACCATGATATCCCAGTGTCAGTAGACATAGAGCTACAACATGACACTGATAGTGATGTAGCATTGTGTTACCATGGTATCCCAGTGTCAGTAGACATACAACTACAACATGACACCTCAGTAGTGATGTAGCATTGTGTTACCATGGTATCCCAGTGTCAGTAGACATAGAGCTACAACATGACACCTCAGTAGTGATGTAGCATTGTGTTACCATGGTATCCCAGTATCAGTAGACATAGAGCTACAACATGACACCTCAGTAGTGATGAAGCATTGTGTTACCATGGTATCCCAGTGTCAGTAGACATAGAGCTACAACATGACACCTCAGTAGTGATGTAGCATTGTGTTACCATGGTATCCCAGTGTCTGTAGACATAGAGCTACCACATTACACCTAAGTAGTGATGTAGTATTGTGTTACCATGGTATCCCAGTGTCAGTAGACATAGAGCTACAACATGACACCTCAGTAGTGATGTAGCATTGTGTTACCATGGTATCCCAGTGTCAGTAGACATAGAGCTACAACATGACACCTCAGTAGTGATGTAGCATTGTGTTACCATGATATCCCAGTATCAGTAGACATAGAGCTACAACATGACACCTAAGTAGTGATGTAGCATTGTGTTACCATGACCAAAAAAGCTGACTCTGTCATGTCTATCATTGTGTTACTGTGACAGGACAAGCTGGCATCTGCAGTGGTGGCTGAGGTGCTACTGACCAGACTCGCTGACCGGGAGAGTAACACAGACAGGGCTTTCAAACTCAGGGAGAATGCAAAGTAAGTACACTGTAACATTGCTGGTGAGACATGAGTAGTATACATAATGGGGCTTCTGGACCACATAGGTACACCATGCCTAGAAGCTCCATACTAGCCAATTCGGCTCCCACAACCACTAAAACATTAGTGTTTTTCACAAAACTATATCGGAAGACGAAAAGTGTCCCGACGCAAGTGCACTCGAATTAGAGATATGCGGGTATATGGAAATAGAAAAAAATGCCAGGAACGAAGCTATCACGCGAAGCCTATGCCGAGATCCGATCGGGTCATTTGTCCGTTCGGGAAGCGAAGAGGAAGTGCCACATATCGCAAGCCATATATGAATCCATGGTGGTATAGACCCCGAGCCAGAAACAAAGACTACAACTTCCGACATGGCAGAAGTCTTCAAGACCCTGCTGGAGAAGTGTCCCTATCTCTTGCTTTCCGACCGAGAGAAACAAATCCTGGAGCAATCGGGACTAGGGCTCTGACGGGTAGCAAAAATCGGACTCGAGTACCTGGGGGATAAAACCCGACCCAGACTCGAGTACCCGAAAGAAAATTTTAGTGAGAGTTATGTGCGTGTGTTTTAAGTAGTTTTCAATGGAATTTCACACAAGAATGCCGCACTTATATGTTATAACGTCTGTATTGAATTGAAAACTTACACGAAATGTTTCCTTAAAACGCGTGGTTATCAATTTGACGAAACACAAACCTAATATCATTGACTTATTTGACTAGCATCAGTCTATTTGGATGGATACCAAGGAATCAGCGATTCCTCCAGGCATCTAGTGGCAAGAATGCAGGATTTTAGGTCCCACTTGTCTCTGATGTAATGCCCTGTGAAGATGATGTAACCCTAGGTGGCACAGCTGGTCCACAAATTTGTTGTCAAAAGATAGCCAGGGGACTGCTTTAGAATATCCTTAAGCTGAGTTTTGGTTTCGGCATATTCCTTCATAAGGTAATTATGGAGGGTTTTTGAATATGGTGCGATACAACTGGAATTAAGTGAGTGACAAAAATCACGAAAACCATTACCTTTAACAAGGTTCAAAGGTCTGAGGTATCTAAAGCACATCATCATGGCCTTGCGTGTGAGTGTATGTTTTTGAGTCAAGCTTTTTTCGGTTGTAACCCCCAAAATATATATCCCTGCTTCCGCGTGGCTTGCTTTTTGACTGGATTTTGACGACTACTGCCCGGAACCCAAGGACAGACACAACCGTAGCGAAATACGAAGGGAAGAACCGACTGTTGCTGCTACTCGATTCGCCGACTGGAGAAACGATTTCGGTCTATGGCTTCAAGATACTGGAAAAGGTTCAAGACGCCGGCGGAAAAGAATGCCTACGGTTGGTGGGTGGACCCTTTCTGGCTTGGCAAAATCTGCCACTCGCCCATATCGAACAGGAAAGACGATTGAGAAGTCGAGTTGCTGCTCCCAGACACCGAGCGGGTATAGTTTCTATCGAAAAACACACACACACACACAAAAAAAAACAAAAAACAAAAAAACCCTTGTTCCTACCTAGTTTGCCTAGTTTGTACCTAGTTGCTTCTAGTTTCTACCTAGTTCGCACCTAGTTTGTACCTAGTTTGCCTAGTTTCCCAAGTCCGCCTAGGTTCTGCCTAGTTTACTATATAAACAGTGAGATGTATAGTACAAACAAAATGCCTTCAAAAAGACAACTATCGCAAGACCAAGTGGAAGATATTCACAAGATGCGTGGAAAAATCTCTGCACAAGAAACGAAACAACGATTTGGAATCGGTTCCAATCAACTACGCAAAATATGGAATACAGAAGAAGATATGCAAATAGCTACAAAGCCCATTTCCTCCTCTCCCGCTACAAATCTGAACTCCAGCACATCCGTATTGCCAACCACAGAACCGTCTACCAACACCCTCTTGCCCGCTGGCGAGATAGCTCCAAATCCGACGTCGACCTCCAGCACAACTGTATTGCCTGCTGCAGAACCGTCAACCCTCTTGCCCCCTCCAAATCCAACCATCAAGGACTTAAACGATTGTCTGGGGAAGACTGAGGCATGTGTGGAGCAAAACATGACGATGTTGTCAGCTCGTGTGCAGCAAACAATGAATTTGTTGGTCGACATCTTTTCTAAGCTGGACGACGACAACGAAGAACTTCGGGAGGAAATAGAAAGCATAGAGGAGGAACAAGAAGAGACCCATCTGGATATCGAGAAGGTGCGGCAGATGGTAGACCAATTTGTCGAGGATGCATTGGTATCGCAGGCACCAGAAGAGGTAGTCGTTGTCGTACAGGTTCTCTATGTTTGAGAAACAGAAAGGGATCGCGATTTCTTCCGGAACCTCAAGTGGGGTGTGTAGTCTACCGCTTTTTTTCCCAGAGAACGCATTTCTTGCTGCCGACGCAGTGGTCGATGGCGCCACACTTGCATGTAGAGTTGTATAGTTCGAAGAGAGTGGGGAGTTTCGATATAGCGGCGAGGCAGTCGGTGCATCGGTTGTGTCTATCCTTTGGTACGATTCGGAGTTTGCCTGCTGCGGGTAGAAATTGGTTGGGTTGGTAGATGTAGACGAAATCGACTATTTTGCCGTCTTCTACGAATTGGCGAAAGCACAGCAAATAGATTTCGAGAAACTGGCGAGGGATCCGGTATTGCTCGTAAAAGATGTGTCCCGATTGCTCCAGGATTTGTTTCTCTCGGTCGGAAACAAGAGATAGGGACACTTCTCCAGCAGGGTCTCGAAGACTTCTGCCATGTCGGAAGTTGTAGTCTTTGTTTCTGGCTCGAGGTCTATACCACCATTTATATATCTGGCTTGCGATATGTGGTACTTCCTCTTCGCTTCCCGAACGGACAAATGACCCGATCGGATCTCGGCATAGGCTTCGCGTGATAGCTTCGTTCCTGGCATTTTTTTCTATATCCATATACCCGCATATCTCTAATTCGAGTGCACTTGCGTCGGGACACTTTTCGTCTTCCGATATAGTTTTGTGAAAAACACTAATGTTTTAGTGGTTGTGGGAGCCGAATTGGCATGGTGTACCTATGCGGTCCAGAACCCCCATTATGTATACTACTACATGACTTCAGCTGTTGTGAATGGGAGCTGAGACAAGGCCATTATTCCCCACAGTAAAGCAGTTGGTTAGGACCAAGAGTCATATCAACAAAGATACACTGGGTTATATTTAATGCACGTATGTTTGGAGATTACTTATAACTACTAGCATTTTACAATATTTCTTGAGGCCTAAGCATTTATACCTGAACCCTTTCAATGCTGTAAAAGCATTTGACAATTTTGCAGGGAATTTGGCAATTTGGCGGAAGAGGTTCTGTGGGTTTGCTACGAACTGGATGAAGATTTGACCCACAAGCTGCTGATCCAGAAGTCGTCATGGTGGGGACACAAGTCTGTCATTGAACTTGTCTACAGCTTCCGTAGTCGTAGCTTCGTCAGCAAACCTGCCTGCAAGTCCCTGCTGGACAAAGTGTGGAAGGGGCACCTGGAGTCTGACCGATTCTTGCTGGTGGTATGTAATACAAGTTTTCACTTCCTTCAGTACCCCATGATAGATACTTTCACTTCCTTCAGTACCCCATGGCGGTACATGATACATACTTTAACTTCCTTGGTACCAGTTATTGGTACATGATACATACTTTCACTTCCCTCAGCACCATAAATACTTTTACTTGACTCAGTACCCCTTGTTGGTACATGATACATACTTTCACTTCCTCCAGGTTCCGGTGATTCTGAGCATGATACCAGCTATATTTCTAGTGCCTTTTCTCTGTGTCAACTCAATGGAACCAAGAGGGTATGTATGAAGCCAGGAGCAGATGAGTCAGATTTGTTTGTTTGTTTGTGATTTATTGGACATGGAACTCCAGCTTATAGTCCAGCTTATTGACTTTGATGTCTAAATAATCCTGACCAATCTAAGCCTCATGGGGATATGATGACATGCATTGATTAAGTGAGCAAGCCTGACCACCCAATTCTGTTAGTGGCCTCTTAGCATAGATAACTGAAGATGGCTGGGAATGGGAAAGGGAAACCCAGATACAATGTCAGATAAGAAGATGCGATATCAGATGAGAAGATACAATGTGAGATAAGAAGATACAATGTGAGATATACAATGTGAGATAAGAAGATACAATGTGAGATAAGAAGATACAATGTCAGATAGAAGATACAATGTCAGATAAGACGATACAATGTCAGATAAGAAGATACAATGTCAGATAAGAAGATACAATGCGAGGGATACAATGTCAGATGAGAAGATGCAATGTCAGATAAGAAGATACAATGTGAGATAAGAAGATACAATGTGAGATGAGATGATACAATGTCAGATAAGAAGATACAATGTGAGATAAGAAGATACAATGTCAGATAAGAAGATACAATGAGAGATACAATGTGAGATAAGAAGATACAATGTCAGATAAGAAGATACAATGTCAGATAAGAAGATACAATGTCAGATAAGATGATACAATGTCAGATAAGAAGATACAATGTCAGATAAGAAGATACAATGTGAGATAAGAAGATACAATGTGAGATAAGAAGATACAATGTCAGATAAGAAGATACAATGTGGGGGATACAATGTCAGATAAGAAGATACAATGTCAGATAAGAAGATACAATGTCAGATAAGAAGATACAATGTGAGGGATACAATGTGAGATAAGAAGATGCAATGTCAGATAAGAAGATACAATGTCAGATAAGAAGATACAATGTCAGATAAGAAGATACAATGTCAGATAAGAAGATACAATGTGAGATAAGAAGATACAATGTCAGATAAGAAGATACAATGTCAGATAAGAAGATACAATGTCAGATAAGAAGATACAATGTCAGATAAGAAGATACAATGTCAGATAAGAAGATACAATGTGAGATAAGAAGATACAATGTCAGATAAGAAGATACAATGTCAGATAAGAAGATACAATGTGAGATAAGAAGATACAATGTCAGATAAGAAGATACAATGTCAGATAAGAAGATACAATGTCAGATAAGAAGATACAATGTCAGATAAAATGTCAGATAAGAAGATACAATGTCAGATAAGAAGATACAATGTCAGATAAGAAGATACAATGAGAGATAAGATGAAGATACAATGTGATAAGAAGATACAATGTCAGATAAGAAGATACAATGTCAGATAAGAAGATACAATGTCAGATAAAATGTCAGATAAGAAGATACAATGTCAGATAAGAAGATACAATGTCAGATATGATGATACAATGTGAAATAAGAAGATACAATGTCAGATAAGAAGATACAATGTCAGATAAGAAGATACAATGTCAGAGAAGAAGATACAATGTCAGATAAGAAGATACAATGTCAGATAAGATGATACAATGTCAGATAAGAAGATACAATGTCAGATAAGAAGATACAATGTCAGATAAGATGATACAATGTGAGATAAGATGTTCTTACACACCTGTGGGTGAGAAACCCATGTGAGAAAACTGGTATCACACATATGTGTGAGATCGATTTCTAATCCCGTGATTGGCTACTCCATGGTGACGACCTAGGGTCAGGGTATGACGGACTACTTTCCTGATTAAAATTCATTGATAAGTTACTCGTGCTTCAATCGAACAGAAACCTGTTACTCGTGCAAAAAATACCCCTTTACACCTACCTGTTATTTTTCGCGATTGCAACATAAACAGGTATTTATACAATGAGTCACAAGTAGAATAAATATAACACAAATCTATTTATTTTCTAATTCCTTTTATTAAAACTTTTGATTTCTAGTCATGAATTCAAAATGGCTCCAACAATCTGTGATACCTGTGTAAACAATTATATGAAAATCACCGTTAGAGATAAAGCCCTTGATTCCCTTCGAATATTCAAAATGTACAACACTGGTACTTTTACTGCTGAGATGCGACAAGTGTCATGTGTCGTCTTGCAAAAATACCTGACACGATAACGTCAGTGCCTGTCGAGAGATCAATTTGCCTTGTTGTTTCTTTGATGCATTGATGAAGATGACATTTTTCACTGATACACATGATGGAGACCCACTTCCAGCTCCGAGATACTATGTGATTCCAATGTTATCAAATTCACTCATGACAATCTTAACCAAAACACACTCGTTGAAACAATGTACAACATGGTACGTTTTGCAAGGCTTCATGAGTGCAAATGGCGGCACACGTCCTTTCTGTTCAATCGAACATGTACAGGAACGGTTGATCTACACATAAGTCATTGCTCAAGATATTCCTGCGACGCATGATAATGAAAAGTTTATGTCTTGATAACTTACAGGATGTAATCAACTCACATTTCATACTGAAAACTCCGTAAATTCCATTACATTCAAAGTGGCAGTTTCTGGCTCGGGAAAACGAGAAGGATGTGGCGAAGAAGAGTAGTCCCCAAATTAACAGTGAACGTAACCTCAGCAATGGCACATTCAAGCACACTGGGTGCACCTAATTACACACACGCAAAAGTTTTGGCTCCGGTCGATGGTAGAACAATGAACGTAAACTGGTACACAAGTACAGATCCCCAATGTGCAGAGATATCCAAAATAATCTTCCGATAATGACGACAACCACCAAGCGATAACGATGACGTCACACGCTCAAATATTTTACGCTTGCAAGAATTAAAATCATCCACATTTGCATGGTAACATCATCGTTTTAGAGGGTTTAATTAATTTTCAGTGATCTTATCTAGTTTTCATTATCACTATTGCCTTTATGATGCGAAGAGGTGGCAGAAACCTTTTTGTGGAGGGTCACCATGGGGATGAGTAGTGATTAGGAAGCCAAGTGACGTCACTCATTCATAAACGCTTGTGTTGTGTATTATTAGCACCTACGATTAGAAAACATGAAATTTGAATCTATTCGAATGATACGATTTTATGGTGTAAGAAACAGATTACTGTACTGCGTGTCTGTCAGATACCATTTATCTTACAACTCGTTGTTTCAAAACGTATTTAACTTCGCTTTTCATCGTTAAATACGTTTTGAAACAACTCGTAAGATAAATGGTATCTGACAGACACTCGTTTAGTAATCTCTATATACAATGTGAGATAAGAAGATACAATGTCAGATAAGAAGATACAATGTCAGATAAGAAGATACAATGTCAGATAAGAAGATACAATGTGAGATAAGAAGATACAATGTCAGATAAGAAGATACAATGTCAGATAAGAAGATACAATGTGGGGGATACAATGTGAGATAAGATGATACAATGTGAGGGATACAATGTCAGATAAGAAGATACAATGTCAGATAAGAAGATACAATGTCAGATAAGAAGATACATTGTCAGATAAGAAGATACAATGTGAGATAAGAAGATACAATGTCAGATAAGAAGATGTAAGTAAAGGCTTTCGAAAAACTTTCGTGATCTTTGGCTCGAGATGAAAACAGATTTTGGGTTTTGCAGCCTGATTTGAGGGTCATGAAAATATACTTGTCGGGTCAAACATCTTACAACAATGTTCAACCACCCAACCTCCATGACCTTAAACTCACAAACCTGTGTCTTATTAACAACTCTGGCTGGTCAGTGCAATCTGTGTTGTCTCCTGATTGGTCATTTTGTTTTCGTGGTAACATGTTCACCTGATGTATGTTGCAGTATTTCAGTTCCTGGCAGCAGACGACGCAAGTTTTGTCAGGGGCTACGTGACTTCTACTCCGCTCCCGTGGTCAAGTACCAGATGAATGTGGTAGGTACAACAACCTGCATGGAAAATGTATAAAATGTAAGTAGAGTTCCATGTATTTCAGTATCCCATACTTCTCCACATCTTGTATGAGTATGTATTTCTTGTATTGCATGTATCTATCCTTATCCACTCACTCACTCACTCTAGGTGGCGTTCCTAGTGCTCCTGCTTGTGTTCAGCTATGTGCTGCTGGTGGACCTGCGCCCAGAGTTCAGCGTGTTTCAGGGCATCCTGTGTGGCTTGGTGTTCCTCTACACTGTGGAGGAAGTCAGACAGGTGGGTATTAGCAGCCATTCTCACATCTACTGTACAAATACTTACATCAAGTATGAGCAATATAGGAGATCAGTGACTTGAAGACAATTAGTCAAATAAAGGAGTTTAATTCCCAGTCTCTTTCAGAAGATATATTATGGCACACTGGAAAGCTTATTGTACTTTAGTTACTTAAACATTGGCCCTGATCCGGTGAACAGACATGGACTAACCTTTTTTAAAATGTGATGTGACTGCACCAAGGCCAAAATTATATCATTACAACATTTTATTTAAAGGTCACATGCAACCAAAAAATCATACATAATTAAAACACAATTATCACTTATTCATAGCATATAATATACATTGCTGATTATGAAAAAACATGTAAACAAAATTATGAGCGTACAATCGCAAATCCAAAGTGCAATATTTTGTACTTGGGTTTACTTCCCAAGAAATGAAGCAGCCGGGATACCGAACCCAGTCAGATTGGGTGGGTGAGCACTCAAGTGTAACGGCTGGTTCATTGACAGATGCCCTCACGGCTCATTGTGTGTGTATATATAGAGATTATATAGAGATGATTGGTTTTGTAAATACATGCTCATTTTTTGTGTATAACATTTTGCAATCAACAGACATCATAACATGTCATGTGTACAAGTATCACACCTGCCTGTCTGTGTAATTACATAATGTGACAGAGACCGAACTCGGGCCGTAAATCAATGTGTTTTGTTTATGGTGTATAGCCTGATAGGTGTTAAGTTCAAATTGCATGTGGTCAGTGATCGAAGTTGTATATTGAATATTGTCATTAGCAGACAGGCAGGCAGACACTAAGGTGTCACTAAAACAGACATTGAGTTTTGTCTGTGACAATGACATATCTATATCACAGTTAGAAATTCTGTCAACGCTAAATAATGACATTGCTTTTAAGTATCGAACTGAGAACGTGACTCGGTAAGAAGAACTTGTGGTGAAATAGACAAATGAAATTATATAAACAGTTAAATCGGTAATCTACTGTCATAACATATAAAAAAGCTCGCGCCTGTGAAATATCAACAAAACATTAGAAAAGTAGCTCACACCAAAGCCTTCACCGAGTATTCCCTGGACAACCCGCTTCGAAGCTGCGCAAACCTATTTCACTGCGCATGTGCTATGAGCGCAGCCCAGCTGTTGAAACCACTTTTCCCCCAAGCGCTGGGGGAAAATTAGTGAATCGTTTGAACTCCGATTTCACGCGGTTTTCTTCATCGCGTTATTTTTCAACTTTATAAGTTGAATTTGCATTTTTGATGATTTGTTTCGGTAAGTCCATACCGAAAAGGTATCAGAATCTGCAAAGTTTTGTTTTACGTTGCATGTGACCTTTAAGTATATAAATCCTTAGTTATTTTGGTGGTGTAAAGGCATCTTAAATTATCTTTGTTTAACTGAATTATGAAAAGGCACATAATGTAGGTAGATACACATCTGAAATAATTTTTTGGGAGAAAATTGGATTTTTTGAAAATTTACAAATCAATTGAAGACCCTCCTATTCTTAGGCGAATGCTCGATTCTCTTCATATAAATTCACGTACAATTTGCTTCTGTTTTTAGAGTTATTTTAGGAATGACATTATATGATAAAGAGATTATTAACCTCGTGTGTTTCTGTATCATTAATATCATATATTAGGAATAAAATATATGTATTATGCTCACCAAAGGCTCGAATAATACAATTTTTATTCCTAATATATGATATTAATGATACGGGAAACACACTCGGTTAGTAATCTCTATATCTCCACACAAGCTTGGTCCCATTTCAGTGTCTGGGTGGCAGGGAACGGGATCTCCGTTGTCGGTGGAATCTGTATTGGAAGGAGGGATGGAACCGGCTGGACGTCTTCACCATCATCATCTTCATCCTGGGGATGGTGCTTGTGGTCATCCCACACCCCGACGTGCACCGAACCGGCCGCGTCGTGCTCAGCATAGACTTTGTCCTGTTCTGTATGCGGCTGCTTCAGGCCTTCGCTGTTGGTTCTGACATCGGACCCATGTTCACGATGATACTCAAAATGGTAGGGAAATATCAATTGGGTATCAACAAATATTACAACCTTCGATCTTACTGTGATTAGCTAGATACCTTTCCATACACAGATGGCCCTTTAAGGACACTGCAATAGACCTGGGCTGGTAATGGATTAGGGCCTCCACTAGATACTGGATCTGTAAAAAGATACAACACCTCCCAACAGACACTGGGCCTCAAGTAGACCGGTCCTCTTAGAAGAATACAGACCAGGTCTCCTATACATACTGGTGTTACAAGAAAAAATTAATTATCCCAATTTAAATACCAATGATCTTCTCAAATGCAACTGAGAAAACTAGAAAGAATTAGAAGATAAATGAGGGCTGAGTGAATCAGGCAATGTACACATTGACTGGTTATTTCAGTCATTGTACACATTGCCTGATTGTAGACATTGACTGTAACATATACAGAGCAGGGGTGCCATTTACAGGAAATATCATTGTTTGAAATCATTCCTGAAAGGTTTGTTGTCATGACTGAAAAATTAAAGATGGATGGGGTCCCAAGGTCAAAATATCACCACAAGGAACCTCAAGACTCCAGTATACTTACTGATTTGTTGTACTGAAAGTCTGAAATACTCGTACTGTCACACTGATCAAATCAATCTGCCTTCAGATCAGGGACACAGTGACCTTCGTGATCATCCTGATGGTGTTCATCCTGTCCTACGCTGTGGCTTCGGAGGCCATCCTGTACCCTCAGTCCCGGCCGCATGTCAGCATGCTGTACTATGTCCCACGGAAGGCTTACTGGCAGATCTATGGGGATTTCTTCCTGGATGAAATAGAGGGATCTGACTTAGGTAACCTGTCAGGACTTCCTTGAGGAAAATGGTGGCATGGTTCTTGAATAGTTCTTGAAAATGTGATTATCGCTGTTTTCTATGCTGTATTCAAATGATATGACCTCATCCTGTAAATTTGATGAAATGCTTGTGCTTCCTTGTCATTCACCAATGCCCCCATGATTTAAGAATATATTTGGCTACATATTTATCTTCAGAATCGTGTACCAATGACGTGAACCTGTACGGTAACCGTACCATGGACAGATGCCCCAGTAAGGAGGGGCAGTATGTTGTGCCGATACTCCTGGGGATCTACTCCATCATCACCCACGTGCTGCTGCTCAACCTCCTCATCGCAAAGTTCAAGTAAGTTAAACTGCACTGAACACTTCAGAATACACCATGATGAAAACACTCAGGTCTGGTCAGCCATGTTGTCTTAGATATTGAAGTTTCCTGTCCAGTTGCATTTCTTATTGACAGAATCTGTTGATTCTGGTATTATTTAAACCTGGATTGTCCTTAGCTGAGATCTTTGTATTGTCAACACAGTTCAGTGAATCACACTTAATAGGTATGTGAAAATGTCCCACGCATATAGTTCCCGTCTGCTTCTCTATTCCCAGTGACACGTACGCCAACGTCCAAGGTGAGGCAAAGATTCACTGGGCATGGTATAGGTACCAGATCATCTACGAGTATGCCCAACGACCTTGTCTCCCTCCTCCCCTGAATGCCATAGAGTGTGTCCTGTTCCTAGTTCGGCACAGCTACAAGATGTTGAAGAGGGTCGTGTGTTGCACCTGCTGTCCTTGGTGTAAGACAGGTACAGACGGAATCCTCACCACGCCGGGTAGGGTATACATTAACATACCTTCTGCTTTGCTATTTCACGAATTTCTTCTGTGGAGAACAAATCTATAAGAGTAAACTGGATTCTTTGACCTCATTTGATCCCATCCCTAAGACTCAAAGTTAAGGACACATCTCCAGGACATGGCTCCCCAAACAATCTGACACTGTTAATGGCATGGCAGCAGAATCTACTGTTAAACCAAACTTTCAGTTGAGACACAATTTGCTTAATTTGAAATATTTTGGGAACAAGGGCTGTTTTAGTGGCAGCCAGGTCATTAGACACAAGACATTTGGTTTAAAAAGCCATACCAATTCTTGTTACTGTTCTGTCATATCAATGTTTGATTTGTTGTGATATAATAAGTAAAGTTGGAAAAGCTCCGCCTCCTGCCGTTTTGGATTGAAGGGCAAGCTGCACTTAAATATCAAATTTCAGGAGTAACATCAAGCAAAAAAGCTTTTAACTGTTAAAATTGTTATTCTGATAAGAATGATGTTTTCAGTATCATGATAACGAATATAAGTATTGCTTTGACAATATGTATTCAATGCATGAAGTCAGCTGTTATTTCAAAAGTTACTTTTTGTTAGATCCTGCTTGTATTTCCTCATCCATCAGAAGTGGTGTTGGTAGTGATGTTTTGTGGTTAAAACGTTCTCTCATCTTACAGAAGATTTTTCATCCAAAGTTTTGTGTAGAGCAGCCCTGCTGTTATATCTATTGAGCACTCTGTTTAAAGACAACTGTCTAATCAACCTTTTCTACAAAATTGACCAAGCTTCCCCCTAATCCAATATTTTGTTTACACTGAATCTGTATAATGCAGCACTTTACACAACATGTAATTCACAATGCTTGAAGAATTCCTGGTGTCTGCTGCCATGATACTGTATGGTTTTGTTTTTGTTGGTTTTCAGTACAAGCTGGAAAAACTGGTCCTAATAGTATTACGATCCACTGGCAAAGCCCAGCAGACAAAGATGCCTCTCGCTATAGGATACTGTGCTACAAAATAGTCGACACTGTACAGGGTATGAACAACTTCAAAATTAAACTCTGACTCTTATACCTTAATCAACCAATGGTGATATATCTACATGAGGATGATATTCAAAAATCTACTTATCATCTGTCTTCATTCTTCTACTTTCACAGTGGGTAAAGTATTATTATCAGTGTCTGGCGTGTATAAGTGAGAGCTAACCAGGAGAGAAAAGTGATGTCATTTGATTGTGATGTCATAATACCTGATGACTCCTGTCTGCAAAGCATTGTGAAGCAGTATCTCTCGTGGAAGTGAGTTTTGGATAATACATACCTTGGACTAAATCCCAAATATCATTACGTATTCACTATTCAGCTAAAACTAGTTATCTAAGTTATTCACACCTGAATGAGAATATGTGTGCTAAGCTTGTTTTAAGTGACATGGTGATTTCTGAAAGAAACAAAGGAGGCAGATGTATTCAGGATATTTGAAGTGATAGAATGGAGATACAGTTCCCTTGATAAATGAGGATGGTGAGGTATGGCTTCTAGTTTCATATCTCAATGTAGCTGTCACTGTTCCCTGATGTCCAGGGTGATGTATGGCTTCTAGTCTCATATCTCAATGTAGCTGTCACTGTTTCCTGATGTCCTGGGTGATGTATGGCTTCTAGTCTCATATCTCAATGTAGCTGGCACTGTTCCCTGATGTCCAGGGTGATGTATGGCTTCTAGTTTCATATCTCAATGTAGCTGTCACTGTTCCCTGATGTCAAGGGTGATGTATGGCTTCTAGTCTCATATCTCAATGTAGCTGTCACTGTTTCCTGATGTCCAGGGTAATGTATGGCTTCTAGTCTCATATCTCAATGTAGCTGTCACTGTTCCCTGATGTCCAGGGTGAGGTATGGCTTCTAGTGTCATATCTCAATGTAGCTGGCACTGTTCCCTGATGTCCAGGGTGATGTACGGCTTCTAGTCTCATATCTGAATGTAGCTGTCACTGTTCCCTGATGTCCAGGGTGATGTATGGCTTCTAGTCTCATATCTCAATGTAGCTGGCACTGTTCCCTGATGTCCAGGGTGATGTATGGCTTCTAGTCTCATATCTCAATGTAGCTGGCACTGTTCCCTGATGTCCAGGGTGATGTATGGCTTCTAGTCTCATATCTCAATGTAGCTGGCACTGTTCCCTGATGTCCAGGGTGATGTCCAGGGTATGGCTTCTAGTCTCATATCTCAATGCTTCTAGTCTCATATCTCAATGTAGCTGTCACACTGTTCCCTGATGTCCAGGTATGTACGGCTTCTAGTCTCATATCTCAATGTAGCTGACCCTGTTCCCTGATGTCCAGGTATCCCAAACATTAACCAGCCTGACTTGGCACTGACTCTATACTCCACGGTGTGCACTGTGCGGAACCTTCAGCCACACACCACCTACAGGTTCAAGGTCAGCTACGAGACGACGTCTAAATGGGAGGAGTGGACCGAGGTGGACATCAGAACGGAACCTATAGGTGAGATCTTGTGTTGGAATCAACTGAAAAATTAGAGTGGCATCAATATTGTATTGATTGATAAACGTATGAATGGGTGTGCACATTGTGTACATGTTGTGTTATTGTGTATAGCAATACATGAGACGTGTAGTTTTGTGATTGAAATAGTCAGTGTCGTATTGGCTGACTCAACTTGATGCCAGAGTTTATGTAACAGACTGAAGAATTGTGTAACATATTTGAGGAGCAAGGTTTATACAGGTGATTGTTATCTTTGTACAATCCCCAAACTCTCATTACCCAAGCTTCTCCATAATCCTGCATTTTGTTGAACCAGCATCTGTGACATAACTGAAATACTTTTCACAGGATTGTTAAATCTCATGCGAGTCTGTTATTTTCGTGTAGAGAGTGACTTGGCAAGTTGCCATGAGAAGGACTGTGTTGAACAGCTGGAGGGGAGACAGCTGAAAGATGACATGACAGCACAGTGAGTGCACATTTCCAGGCCTCCATCTTCAATGTTGGCAAAAACACATCAACAATAGAGTTATATGTAGTATTTCTTGTATCAGAATTGTGGTAAATATTCTTGAAGCAAAATTTCAGTGCCTGCATATGATTAAGCTACTAGTTTAAACTACCAAGTGTCATAGCCAGATGTGAATAACAGTTGACAGCAGAGAGTTTTGTACTTGAGTTATCTGCTCTTGTTCCATTCTTTCCCATCTATTCTGGACATGTCTCTGTAGATTATGCTCTGTTCTGTTGTAGACTGGAAGTTATATCGAAATCAGTGAGCACAAACAAGCAGCAGGTCTCCCAGTCTCTCCAACAGGTCACAGGTCACATAACACAGTAAGTAGAGCATCATGGGTTGGTACAAAGGTGAAGGTCAGTCACATGGTCATTTAAGCTTAAAGTTGTTTTTTCTATTGCTTTAATGCTTTGTCATTATAAGACTAATGCTTATCTAAACATGAAACACAGAGTGACATCAAAACTACTCTGTAAAAATACAGATGACTATTTTTCTCCAGGTTGAGAGACATGGTCAAGGAACTGCATGAATCTACCAAATGTATTATGACAGCTGAGACTAAGAACATTGCTCAGCTGGCCAGACAGCAAGCAGACTCGACAGTCACCATGGCTGCAGAGATTTCCAATTTGAAGCAGTCTGAGGTGGCCACGTTGGCGGAGATCAGGACACTGAAGAAAGAGCTGTCAGAGATGAAAGAGAGGTCAGCAACGAGGACGGAGGACCTGCATGCCCTGATGACACAGCAGACCTCCATGATGCAACAGGTGCTCCAGGCAGTGGCCACTCCAAGGCAGCCTATGACCTGATCGCTGATCTACAACACGTACAGAAGGCATTTACAAGCATTGGATAGATTTGGGGAGAATCTTCAGAAATGTGGTTATGCAAATTCTCTCAGATGAACATGATTATAGCTGAAACTGGTATTTAGGGTTTCATGAAGATCTGATGTATTGAATAGAAAGTTGGTATTTAGGGTTTCATGAAGATCTGATGTATTGAATAGAAAGTTGGTATTTAGGGTTTCATGAAGATCTAATGTAGTGAATAGAAAGTTGGTATTTAGGGTTTCATGAAGATGTAATGTAATGAAAAAGTTGGTATTTACGGTTTCATGAATATGTAATGTAATGAAGAGAAAGTTGGTATTTAGGGTTTCATGAAGATGTAATGTAATGAAGAGAAAGTTTTGATCATTTTGAAGGTCACAAAAGATGAACCATTTTATTTGGAGTACATGTAGTTGTGCAGTATGTTGGAATTTATGTACAGTAAAACCTCATTAATCCAGACTTTGTGAAAAAAAACCTAGTGGTGTCAGTACATACCCACAGGAATATTGCTCTGTACCTATATAATATGTTAATCTGGATATTTTCACAGAGTCTGGATTTAAAGGGTTCTTATGTAGAGAAGTTTTACATACATATGTTTTGTACTGATTTTTGTGTTTTGATAATGTAAATTTTAACCTCTATATGAATATATCCTGAATATTGTGTGATAGTGCACACCCAGAATTAACTCACCTCCACTGGGACTTGTGGGAGGCATGGGTGGCCAAGGGCTTAAGGCACTGCAGTTTGCTGTACAGAGTTGTGTCCCTTGGGGATGTTGGCAACCTATGAATGAGGGTTCAAATCTTTGATCTGTTTGATTGGCATTTAGAAGTTGGTGACTAATAAGAAAGTAAGAAAGTTTATGGATAACAACTTCTTTATTATATATGATGCGACGTTTCGGTATGGATTCTTATACCGTTGTCAAGCCGTTGTCTTGCTTGACAACGGTATAAGAATCCATACCGAAACGTCGCATCATATATAATAAAGAAGTTGTTATCCATAAACTTTCTTACTTTCTTATTGTTCAAATCTTTGTTAATCCAAATATTTCCTCGTTTTTTCTGAAAGGCTGAAAGTCACAGTTTTAATCAAAATGCAACATGAGGATGTGTTAACCTTGTCTGTTATGATGCATATACCCTGAATCACATCCGGTCATTCCTTTTGATTTCAGAATGGCACTGCAAGTTTATGACTCAATTATGAAAATGTTGCACATTTTACACAAACAGGCATGTCAGGGAGCCTGGCTCGGTTTCACTTCAGGAAATGTATTCCAAGTTACATACATCTACATTTACATTCCTTTATGTGATGTTTCAGGTCAGGTCTTTTTGTGGATGAACACATCCTAACTACGGCAATAAATATGTAAGGGATATATGAAAAAATATGTTTTTGATGTATCTTACATTTCAGGTATGTATTTTGATTGTACCTGCAGTCACTTTTGATTGTACCTGCAGTCACTCTTGACAGTGGTATTGAAACATGTTACTCTGCCTCCTCCCTATCAGGAGATAAGGAAATGAGCAATTATGGCCTACCGGTCTATATTGAATATTGTTAACAGATTGTCAGGGAACTATTTGATGTTGACTCTCAGTAATAAGACAAATTTATAACTCACTGAATCTGAACAAAGTCACAGTTGTTGAAATATGCCTGATCTTGGTGCAGTGCATGTTGATAGTTCATTATATGGAATGGGTGTGTTCATCTGAATAATTCCATGGAAGATGTTTTCAAGGCAATAGTATACATATTTCATAATATTTACCTCGTTCAATGAAATCAATGGCAACTACCTGGTAGTGATATTGGCTCAATAATATGCTGATATGTAAAGGGACAGATATGAAGCGAGGCCCTTGTTTGACAGACGCACGGTATGTGCTGTGAACAGATATGAAGGAACACACTGGTGATGAAGACAAACAGTGGGTGCATGGCAGTGTATTTGACAGACCAGATGTTTCACATACTTTGTTTGATAGGAGCACTTCTGATGGATGCAACATTTCCTCAAGCTGACATTTCTTGTATGTGTTACCACCATTGTCGACACCATTCAGAAGTTGCATTCTGATTTTTTGTAAGGCAATGCATCCATTCACCTTTTTTACAGAACTGATATTTTAGATAACTGCAGTTTTTTTAGGTATTACTTTTACAGGTTTCGATGCAGACTGTGTTAAGTTTACATGTTAGTACTGGTACACATACAACTCAGCTCAACATTGTATGACTTGTCAATCCTTTTTTGACCATGTTTATCTTATGAACTTTACACTGATTTGTAGACATGTACTTTTTTAAAGAATAAAATGGCTGGCATGTGCAAACATTATTTTCCTTGGAGATTTTTCAGGATTTTCTGTGATACTGTGCTCTTTTCATCAGGACTATATTGAGGACACTTATCTTGGTAAAAGCTAGGACATAGGTAACATCATCATCTTGTAGTCATCCATTTCTGTACATCTTCACTCGATCCTAGCTACTAGTGCATTACCATGATAGGCATTTGAGTTATCCCCACGTCTGCTGAACAAAGCCATAATTTTGGATTTTGTTTTGGCTAGATGAACGAGACTATGAGTAGTCTAATCAAAATCTCAAAACCATATCTACATCCAGTGTGGTCAGTTACATCACAATATGTCAGTTTAGTGTGGAGATCTGAGTTTTATCTTGGCATGTCAGCTCAACATAACCCCACTCAACCACCCGCTGAAATGCATGCTCCACAAGACCAAGGGTGCGCTTTGAACAGCGGAAGCATTCGAATATTTCTTCCTGAATCTTTGTATTCACATCGAGTTAGTGTTGCTTGATTATCTTTCACCGTTTTCAGATTTTTCAAGGGTACAGGTACGAGTGCATGAGAAAGTTGGGTTCAATGCTGCTTTGCACCATATTCCAGTGATATGACTTGGCATGGCAGCTTGATGTGGGGGGAACACCCTGAGTCATGTAGGTGTTATATGAATACCTCTGGCTCAGGAGTTGATCAACTTGGGGTACACCTACAGAATACCCGGATACTTACCAACCATTCTTTAGTGCCACGTGCACTTCATATTATAGAGAAGCATGAGCTATGAAATTCGAAAAAAATAAGGGGGCATCAAAATTAAAAATAACCATTAAAATCGGATTATTTCGGGGCGAGTGGTAAAACTAACCAACAATTTTGATAAATATATTTGTCTTTGAAAAAACGGAGCTACGGGGAGTTGGGAGTGAATGTGCGTGTTAACCCAACCCTACGATATTCATTAAAATAACCCTAAAGAAGATAGTAACGGATATCCAAGGGCTGAAAAAGTAAGATAAGAAGTACTTCAAACTTGAGTAGAGTTGTGCACATAGTTTGCGCAGTTCTAAAGTTTTCAAAGATGGCAGAAGCTGTCTGGTATTCTGTATTCTTTCCCAACTTAAAAACAAAATTCAAGCATACCCAAGGGGGACAACTCCTCATAGGTAATTGTAATGCCTTAGATGACTAGCCCACCTGTGACCCTACAACAGGTTGGACTTCAGAATCCTAGCTGCTGTAGAGTTTATAAGCATACATTATGTCTTGAAACTTTGATAAAATACATGATACAGCACTGGCTTGGTTTATAGTATGACATCATATCCTGACAATGTGGCTGGGTTGCTCATTATATCAATCACTAGTCTGTCGGGTCCTTACTCCAGTATTTACAGTCCACAACAATATTGCGTTGTCTAATGCAACACTAGAAACCAAAAGGATACAGATATCTTTGTCTTCCTGTTTAGTTTCCAGTGCAAGAGGAAAAACAACAGAGTCAAAGTGAGAGAACCTCATTTTACATTAAAATGAGTCATTTCACATTCCTGTACACACAATTAAATACTTTTACACACTTACAGTCATATATTTACAAATCGCAATTCCATACAGCTCAAGAATATATTTTGCCTTTTTATCAAAACAGAGACTTGTCGTAAATCTGTTTGAAAAAATATGACAGGTATCAGCTAGGGTAATTTAGACACATACGTTAGTTGGCAAAGAATTGGCACTTTTTGCATAGCGCATATGAATTATCCCTCTTGTAACATGACAATATATACGTCCTGCACATCTAAAGAGACCACTTGACTGGTAACTGTCAGGCTCTGGTACTGACGATCGACATTCAAGGTGAACATGGTGACTGTCGACATGTCAGTATACAGAATGGTTCAAAAAGGGATGTGGAGACCTGTAAACCTAATTATCATCCAAGGTTTGTAATAACCCATGTATTAGCGTGCCAAGGCACAGTAAATATCGAAATGGCACAGATAAAAAGTGTTCTTGGTGCCCTTATGGCACGCCTAAGTTTTTAGAGACATAGCACTACTTAAGTCATTTAATCCCCAAACAAAACACTTAAGCAAATGACAAACAAGCAAAAACATTTATTGACTTTTACGCCCAGGAAATCACTGGAATTATGATGCATGAAGTAAAGAAATCTTGTTGTTTTTCCATTTAGAGGGGGCGGTGGGGTAGCCTAATGGTTAAAGCGTTGGCTCGTCACGCCGAAGACCCGGGTTCGAATCCCCACATGGGCACAATGTGTGAAGCCCATTTCTGGTGTCCCCTGCCGTGATGTTGCTGGAATATTGCTAAAAGTTGGGTAAAACCAAAACTCAGTCAGTCAGTCCATTTAGAGTGTTATGAGTACTGATAGTTTGGTTAGAGAAGAGTAAATTGTGTATGTTAGACATATTGAAAAAAAGTGAACCTCTCACATGATTCTTAGCTATTAAAGGTGATGGGAAAGCAGAACAAATGTTATATAAGAAAGCCATCTTAAGCAGAAGACATATCAGTGATATCAAAAAACTGGTTACATTTGTTGTTTTCTGACAATAAATTTCAAAAGATCATCATCACTGCTACTGTCATTTATTCTAAAAACATGTAGGCACACTTGATTACTGAAAGGCACACCTAAAATATTTTCCTGGTGTCCTAAGGCACACTTAGAAAAAAAAGTATTTCTACCCCTGTCATCTGACCTTGCCATCAGACAACAGGGGTCGGTGGGGTAGCCTAGTGGTTAAAGTGTTAGCTCATCACACTGAAAACCTGGTTTGATTCCCCATAAGGGTACAATGTGTGAAGCCCATTTTTGGTGTGCCCTGCTGTCATAAGACACTGATATTGCTGGAATATTGCTAAAAGCGGAGTAAAACTAAACTTACTCATTCACTCATCATTTTGTCGATCTCAGTGATTCTGAGAATTCACACCAACTAACACGAACTACCTAATAAACTCTGTAGTTAGAACAAGAACTTAACAAACATAATCTCGCTTCATCTCACACATTTCACAATATGTAAGTTTCTTGGATTGTGATGATGCATTATCAGCAAGACATCCAAGAGGGTGTACTTTCAAGGGTATATTGGTATTCTGTGATGAAACATTTTGCTAAGATATGAAGCTGAATCATTTTAGAAACCTGATATTTGATTAGCTCCAGACCAACACATCCTTCACTTAAACTGGGCAGTCAAAGTATACTCAGAGTTCACCTGACTCCTCCTTCTGTGGAGGTGATGTCATATCTTGACACAGATAGGTATCATGTTGGCGTGAAAGCTCTGGTTTTAGTGACATCACATACTATGGAGATTAGTTCATCTACTTCGGGGTCTCCAAGCACTGGCATTCTTTCTTAGTTAAAAGTATCCCACTGAAAGTGCGGGTCAGTATCAGACTTCTTCCCCATCAGGTGTCTCTGGGGGTTCCTCTGCGAGTCCAAGATACATGGTGACCAGTGCCAACCAGACCAGGAGATGGAAGGTGGCACCAGTGATGTTGATGAGTGATGCCAGGAGGGACATCCCCATTCGCTGTCGTAGCTTCAGGATGTAGATGATGAAGTTGATGGTGCCCCAGGTCATGTTGATACCAGCCAGAAGAAACACACCTGTAACAAATGAACACACAAGTAACAAATGAACATACCGGTAACAAATGAACATACAGGTAACAAATGAACACACAGGTAACAAATGAACACACAGGTAACAAATGAACACACAGGTAACAAATGAACACACAGGTAACAAATGAACACACAGGTAACAAATAAACACAGGTAACAAATGAACACGCAAGTAACAAATGAACACACAGGTAACAAATGAACACAGGTAACAAATGAACACACAGGTAACAAATGAACACACAGGTAACAAATGAACATACAGGTAACAAATGAACACACAGGTAACAAATGAACACACAGGTAACAAATGAACACTCAGGTAACAAATGAACACGCAAGTAACAAATGAACACACAGGTAACAAATGAACATACAGGTAACAAATGAACATACAGGTAACAAATGAACACACAGGTAACAAATGAACATGCAAGTAACAAATGAACACACAGGTAACAAATGAACATACAGGTAACAAATGAACACACAGGTAACAAATGAACACACAGGTAACAAATGAACATACCGGTAACAAATGAACACACAGGTAACAAATGAACATAAGTAACAAATGAACACACAGGTAACAAATGAACACACAGGTAACAAATGAACACACAGGTAACAAATGAACATAAGTAACAAATGAACACACAAGTAACAAATGAACACACAAGTAACAAATGAACACACAGGTAACGAATGAACACACATGAGTAGTAGGGGGAATGATAAGAAAAACCTGTATAGGTACACCTTGCTCAGAAGCTTCCATATGGGCTAATTCTGCTACCAGCCTAGGTGAAAATGAGTGTTTGCCCAATCCCTTCGACAAGACCACTTTCAGCTGCTTCCAGTGCAGTGCACTCCCAGTTAGAGCTATGTGGGTGCATGGATATAGAAATATGCCAGGAACCAAGCTCTCGCCCGAAGCCTATACCGAGATCCGATCGGGTCGTTTGTCCCTTCGGGAAGCGAAGAGGAAGTACCACATATCGCAAGCTCGATACACGCGAATCCGAGGTGGTATAGACAAGCCCCAGACGACGACAACTCCCGACATATCCGAAGACTTCGAGGCCCTGCTGCAGAAGTGTCGCCCCATGTTGCTTTCCGACCGGGAGAAACAAATCCTGGAGCAATCGGGACACACCTTCTACTTAACGCTACCAGATCCCCAAACAGTTTCTCGAACTCTATTTGCTGTGCTTTCAGCCACTAGTAGAAGCCGGCAAAATAGTCGATTTCGTCTACATCTACCCACCCCACCAATTTCGACCCTCGGCGGGCAAACTCCGAATCATTCTCGCCGATGATCATGATCCGGTCCCAGGACAGGCACAACCAATGCACCGACTGTCTCGCCACTCTATCGAACTGCCTGCTCTCTTTGGACCCGACAACTCTACGTGCAAGTCGCGGCGCCATCGACCACTCGCGCGACAGCAAGAAATGTGTTCTCTGGGAAAAGAAAGCCGACTACACACCCCAGGAGCGACTCCCACTTGAGGTTCGAAGAGATCGTGGTCGACAGCTGTTTCGCGAAATATAGAGAACCTGTACGACAACGCCTGTGCTTTCTGGAGCATACGGTATGCACTCCTCGCCAGCAAATTGGTGGACCGTTGTCCGTGCAAGGAGAAAGAGTCTTGTATCTTCCGCAGCTATCGGGGAAGCAGAGGTACCACAGGGACGGGGCAATATTTGGCATACCCCATTGCCCAACTATGGCGGACCCAAGGATATGGAAGTAGCACCCCCTCCGTTGCAGCGAACACCGAAAAGCCGCTGAACGTCCCAGAAGGAGTCTACATGTGCAAAAAGTTTGCTGTAGCGAGATACAAAGGGAAGAACCGCTGTTGTTGCTACTCGATCCCGACTGGGAAAACGATTCCAGTCTACGGCTACAAGATACGGCGATTCGGGCGCCCGGTGGAATAGAATGCCTACGGTTTGGCGGGAACCGTTTCTGTGCACGCCGGCAAAATCTGCTACTCGCCTATATCGGAAAAGAAAGATGATAGAAAGTAGAATTGCTGCTTCCTGACCTTCCGGCGAGAATAGGTTCTATGGGTCCTGCACCACAGGGCTAGGGAGAGTAGACCCTCCAACAGCTCGCCTAGTATTTTTGCAGATGCAGTTGCGGGCTGGGGTTGCAAAGCGGAATGGAGTCGCATTACTTTGTCTAGGCCCGTTTTAGGTATTCCAACTGCTTTTCGGGAAATCGTGGTGCGGAAAGTATACCCTACTACATTACTTTTTCCCCCAAAGCGCTGCATACCACTCTCTACTCCATATGGAAGGGATCCCCACGTTTGGTCTTGGGTGTTTCTACCTTCTCTGCCGGTGTGTGGAGGGGTGCAATGAAGGAGGAAACTGGTTTGCTGTGCTTCCAGGTCTTGTACACAACCTTCCAGAGAAAACAGCTGCTAGCTTAAAGGTAGGTCCACCTTTGGGCTGTTTCTAGCATCTGCCGCGACCTTCTGGATATCCAGACGGGTCTCTTCTTGTTCCTCCTCAACGCTTTCTATTTCCTCTTCCTCGTCGTCCTTGTCCAGCATCGACAAGATGTCGACCAACAAATTCGTGGTTTGCTCCACACGAGCGACAACGCATTTGTGGTTTGCTCCACCACGAGCCGACATTAGCTGCTGTTTGCTCCACACGAGCCTCTAGCCTCCCCAAGCGGTCGTAGAAGTCCTGGACGGTGGGCTTAGTCGGCTCTGCAGCAGGCAATATGCTGCTGGTAGACGGCTCGCTGGGGGCAAGATGGCCGCAGGCAATAAGCTGCTGGTAGGCGTTATGCTGGCGACAGCAGGCAATGCGTCTGTGCTGGGGCCAACGCTTCCTCTCCAGTGGTGTCGCTTAGACGGTTCCGTGGCGTATTCCATATTTTGGCGTGAGTCGATTGGAACCGATGCGAATCGTTGTCTAGTTTCTTGTGCTGGGACTTTTCCACGCATCTTGCGAATCTCCTCCACCTGGTCTTGCGATAGTTATCTTTTGGGAGGCATTTGGTTGTGCTATATATCTACATTCACAAAAAAATTGTCTATATGGGAAACTAGGGCACACTAGGTGCAGACTAGGCAAACTAGGGCACACTAGACAAACTGGGCACACTAGACAGAACCTAGAGGTTTGCTTGTTTTGCCATGCATTTGCTAAGCATTTCTAAGCATTGCTAAGTATTTGCTAAGCATTGCTAAGCATTGCTAAGTATTTGCTAAGCATTTGCTAAGCATTGCTAGGAGTTTCCTGGGGTGGATTGGGATTCCTGGGAGAGGATTGGGATTCCCATATAGACAAGTAGGAAGTATGGGTATATATTCCCAGGAAAAACCAACCATGCCACCAAGAAGAGATTTGTCTTCGGAAAAGATCCAAGAAATACGCTCCCTTCGAGGGGTGCTCCCAGCAAGCGAGGTCAAAAAGCACTTCGGTATTGGGTCCACAAGACTCTACGACATATGGCGAGAGCCTGCTGTAGAGCCTCCGACCAGCACGATGGTATTGCCCGCTAGCACAGCCACGGAACCGTCTAGCGACACCACTGGAGAGGAAGCGTTGGCCCCCAGCACAGACGCATTGCCTGCTGCCGCTAGAGCTAACGTCTACCAGCAGCTTATTGCCTCGCGGCCATCTTGCCCCCAGCGAGCCGTCTACCAGCAGCATATTGCCTGCTGCAGAGCCGACTGCTTCCACCGTCCAGGACTTCTACGACATCGCTGGGGAGGCTAGAGGCTCGTGTGGAGCAAACAGCAGCGATGTCGGCTCTTGTGGAGCAAACCACAAATGCGTTGCCGGCTCGTGTGGAGCAAACCACTTAATTTGTTGGTCGACATCTTGTCGATGCTGGACAAGGACGGCGAGGAAGAGGAAATAGAAAACGCGTCGAGGAGGAACAAGAAGAGACCCGTCTGGATATCCAGAAGGTGCGGCAGATGCTAGAAACAGCCCAAAGGTGGACCTACCTTTAAGCTAGCTGCTGTTTTTCTCTGGAAGGTTGTGTACAAGACCTGGAAGCACAGCAAACCAGTTTCCTCCTTCGTGCACCCCTCCACACACCGGCAGAAAGGTAGAAACACCCAAGACCAAACGTGGGGATCCCTTCCATATGGAGTAGAGAGTGGTATGCAGCGTTTTGGGGAAAAAGTAATGTAGTAGGGTATACTTTCCGTACCACGATTTCCACGAAAAGCAGTTGGAATCTGGCGGGCCTAGACAAGTGTAATGACTCCATTCGCCTTTGCAACCCCAGCCCAAGAACTGCATCTGCAAAAATACTAGGCGAGCTGTTGGAGGTCTACTCTCCTAGCCCTGTGGTGCAGGACCCATAGAACCTATTCTCGCCGAAGGTCAGGAAGCAGCAATTCTACTTCTCTATCATCTTTCTTTTCGATATAGGCGGTAGTAGCAGATTTTGCGGCGTGCACAGAAACGGTTCCCAGCGCCAACCGTAGGCGTTCTATTCCACCGGCGGCCGAATCGTTTCTGATCTTGTAGCCGTAGACTGGAATCGCTTTCCCAGTCGGGGATCGAGTAGCAACAACAGCCGGTTCTTCCCTTTGTATCTCGCTACAGCAAACTTTTGCACATGTAGACTCCTTCTGGGACGTTCGCGGCTTTTCGTTAAGCTGCACGGAGGGGTGCTACTTCCATATCCTTGGAGTCCGCCATAGTTGGGCAATGGGGTATGCCAAATATTGCCCGTCCCTGTGGTACCTCTGCTTCCCCGATAGCTGCGGAAGATACAAGACTCTTTCTCCTTGCCACGGACAACGGTCCACCAATTTGCTGGCGAGGAGTGCATACCGTATGCTCCAGAAAGCACAGGCGTTGTCGTACAGGTTCTCTATATTTCTTGCGAAACAGCTGTCGACCCACGATCTCTTCGGGAACCTCGAGTGGGAGTCGCTCCTGGGGTGTGTAGTCTATCGCTTTCTTTTCCCAGAGAACACATTTCTTGCTGTCGACGC